AGATTAAAAGACTAACATATTTCAATTGTTTTTAAAGCCTTCTTGGTACACGAGTTAGAGATAATTCCAAAGTAATGTTTTCCAAAGTAAAATTTCTAGCTAAGACGTATGGCGGCGTACACAGTGACCTGGGCGCTCTAGTCAGTGGAAAAACAAACAGGTTCTGAAAAGGTTTGCAAGTTGAACCAACTCCGAACCAACTTTGAACCAGCACCAGTTCCAAACCAGTTCTTTTTTTTTGGTGGAAAAGGGATAACAGTGGATTCGAACCCGGGTCTCTCCGGGTCCCGTGTCTTATCCACTGCGCCATCACCACCCCACTAATATTACACATATTACAGGGTCAGTACAGTGATCAAGGAAACTATTAAAGTGTAACTTTGCCGATTTTCAACCTGCTTTGTATTGTTACAATTACAATGTCTGTAGTATATGAACAATGTTCACTCATTCTCTATGTTACCTGGACTGAGAAATTCACGTTTATTTGTCCACCGGATAAAATCTAACATGGCTTTTGACAGCTCCGGGGCTTTCATGAAAACGAACGTTTTGTTCATCCCCTCCCCCTTCCCCTATGGGTGTTGAATTTTTGACAAACGGGAAGACACCAGCCTTTTTTCTCCCTTTTCTAGTCAGGTAGCCCTGATTACAACATTTTCTTTGCCTTTCTATTGTGTGGGCAGCCAAGTTTTATTGAAAGCCCATTTTGCCAGCGGTGAAGTACCACTTTAAAAAACATTTATGGGAACAGATCTGCACACTCTCAACTCGAGATGCTTTTTAAACAGTATTGTAAATGTGTTGTCTTTCTGCAGCATGTGTTTTGTGAGGAGTGTTTATGCCTGTGGTTTGACCGTGAGAGAACGTGTCCGCTGTGCCGGTCAGCAGTCGTCGAAACTCTGCGGAACTGGAAGGATGGGACAACGTCCGCACACTTTCAGATCTACTGAATGACAAGGTTTTCTAGTTGAATCAGATGAAACATGTTCACCATGCATAAAACGTTGCTGTTCGTAATGTCACATGATGAAACATGGCCGTGTACTGTAGGGACAAAATGTTACCTTGGTGAATGTACAATAGCATTACATTATGTCTGATAGCAGAGTTGAAAAAGTGTGTTTTGTCGTCTTATACTTGCTTTTCAACAAGTAAAACTTATTGAATTTTTAATATAATCATTAATAAGCATGATAATTAACTGTTTCGTAACACTTTTTTTGTTTTGTTTATCCAGAGTCAATTGTTGTTGTTTTTTGCAATGGTCTAAATTGTTTATTAAAATGAAAATTCACAAGCAAGTTAACCATGGGAAATTTAAGCAAGTTCACTGTGGAAAAATCATTATCATCTCATTGGTTTATTTATTTAAAATCATGACAACAGTAATATGATCAAAAACGGTGACGTTGAATTAATAATTACATTTATTAATAATACTGAATACGTTAATTTGCCTAAATGTATCTGTTTCATAATGACATTTAAAAGAGTTCTCTGTGTCAGGGTTATTATCCTTAAATAAATCATAAAACTATTAAAAACTTTGCTGTTCGTTGAAATAAAACTGAAATAAAATAATACATATTAGGTGAAAAACTTAAACTAAATGAAAATAGAAATGTTGCCTTGTCAATAAACTGAAATGCATTAAAGTTGAATTAACTGGAAATAAAAACTCAAACTGAAATCGAAATAAATTAAACCAAAATAGCGAAATAAAGGAATAACAAAAAAAAAAAAATGTAACATAACACTACTGTGTATATTTAAAGCCTTTTTATTTTCATAAATGACAAAACTCACAATATCAAAATAGCAGAGAGGTAAAAACATGTTTAAAACACATGGTAGTAACGTAAACTATAAAAGATTGTAGCTTATGTAAACATCAGTAGCATGCCCTTTGATTCACATTTCGCATGAAATCTCATTCATGTCACATTTCTATATTAACACTGACACAAACAATCAAGCCAGAAGCCCTTTATAAAAAGTCCTAAAAAAAGAGATTTGTCTTCATCTGTAAACAACATCGAGTTCAAATACACTTAAAATCATTCTACAGTATAAATATGCTTTCCATTGAGAAGAGTACAGTGTTAAGGACAATCAAAGTAATAAATATCTCATAAAAACCACAAAAGAAACCAAATCACAGCTCCGATATTGAATGGCATAGTCACTTACAGTAGCTTATAACTATATGTTACAGTGCATTATGCAGAGGAGAGGATTTGGTTGTAGTGTTATTTTGGTAGCTCTCCTCTAAAGATTGTCCGTGATTGATCATATTTGAATCATTTACAGCTTTTGCATATCCAAAGCACCCTCTCAACTTTTACCAGCAACAAGAAAAACTCAACTGCAAGGTCATCAAAGTTGAGGCAAGGCTCCTATTGCCATAGTGGTAGAGAAGATTTCCTCGCAAACACCAAGGGACGATGACATCAGCCATTTATTTAGAAGGATCTCCCAGAAGACGCACTGACCTAAAGACTTCTAACCAAACAAACTCGCACCAAAAGACATCGGCTTGCCATGCTTCGGTATTCAAGGAACCTCCGGGATGAAGTATTGGTTGTTATGAATGTGATCAGCACGCTTGTAATGTACAGCACAGATGCGTCTGCTGTTTGCATGTTTCCATTACAACACTACTGCAAAGGTTGTGAGATATACATGGATGAGAAAACATTGACCCACTGTTTGCATGGCAAGTTTCTACAGAGTGCAGACGTGACCGGCACCTTCTCCTCTCCGATAAATCTGGAGCGGATCGTCCCAGGAGAATCTGAAGATTCATCTAATGGGGGGAAAATTGGAAATTAAGCTGATTTAGCATTATGTATCAATGCACAGAAGTTGCAATCAATGCACAAAGCTAATTAAATGTCATGAATTCAATATAAACTAGTGCTGTCAAGCGGTTAATCGCATCCAAAATAAAAGTTTGTGTTTACATATGTGTGGGTGCACTGTGTATGATTATTTTATATATATAAATACACACACAAGCTTGTATATATTAAAGAAATATTTTCATGTATGTACTGTATAGATTTATATATAATTTATATTATATATATATATATATATATATATATATATAAATAATGTTTTTTTCTTAAATATACATGCATGTGTGTGTTTACATATATAAAATAATTATAAACAGTGCACCCACATTTATTATGTAAACAAAAACTTTTATTTTGGATGCGATTAATCGCGATTAATCGTTTGACAGCCCTAATATTTTGTTAAAGATTACTAACGTAACTACTTGTTGAATCTGACTTTTGATGTAATACGCGATATTGTGCATATTTTTCAGTTGGTTTCAATACAAAACAATATATTTGTAATATAGGAAAGCTGCATTTTAATTAAAGCAACGTTTTAGACTATTTACTTCTAGCATTACATGTATTTTCTTAAATAATTAATTGATTTTAGAAGGACTTAGAAATGTCTACTTTCCATGTAAATGGCACGTACCTTCAATTATCAAACTGTTGAAAACATCAAAAATAACAGCTTCATAAATACTTTGTTTTACTAATTTACGTTGTTTCACTTCTGTTTAATGCCGTTTTTAGTCACATTAGTCTGCAAACTGAATATAAAGTCTAAATTGTCCGTCTTAAAAGTTTAATTTCATAAAGATTTTAGCCTATTATCTTCTTTATGCGCAAATTGCTAGCTTGAAAAGTGTACATTATAATTGCTATTAACACTTGAACGCATATTACTCCGATATAACGTGTAACATGTAAACAAAGTATTTCCAAGAAAGCCACTACGCATGTCAATAAAGTCCTCTCGGTCATTCTTACCTGTTGCTGTAGACCAGCAGAGCCTCGTCTCACCTACAGGTGTCGCTTTTTGACTAAAAACACCAGAAGCGTTACTTGAATGACCGTGCACACTATTTGGAAGCTTTTGATGATGTTTTCTCCGCCGCTTCGGTTTCCACCGCCGGAGCTTTTGTCGTTTGCCGCCCATCTCTTCTCCAGCTGGTCTCCGATCCAGCGCAGTCGGTGCGCAAACGGCAGCGGAGCGCGCCCGTGGCACGCGGAGTCTCCGCGCGCGCCTAAAGTCTGCTCCTCCACCGGCAGACAGCACATCCTTCCGCGCGCGCGCTCGGTCTAGCCTTCTTTTCCCGCTGCAGTCTTTGATGTAGACGTGGAGAATGGTGTTTTGTTCGCCTGTCGATGGAACAGTGTGTGTTTGTTTCTGTCGGCGCTATGATTTATTAAAGTGTCACATGGTTTAGGGGTTTACATCACCATCTCCCCAAAGACAAGCGGTAATGGTTAACTCTTCCCTGTCCTGTTCTCTGCGTCACGCGCTTTGTCTTTCTTGCAACAAGGGGGTGGGTGTGTGGTGGTGGTGGTGGTCGCGCAAATTATTCAGGCTACAGACATTACTGATTATGAATTGTGTGTGTGATTTGTTGTATCGGTTGTGCTCATTCGAAGGTGAGCTGTTACTCTAATTATGAGATTTTGAATGCATGTTAACATTAAAAACATCGGCTGCGTCTCAAACCCTAAGCTGCCTACTTAGACAGCATTTATAGTGCACATTTTAGTCTTCAATGAATTAGAAGAATGTTAAATGTTTAGTATAATAGAAAATCTTTTATATCTAATTTGTGGGAATTTTTTAATCATTGCCTAGGCTACATGTGCATTTTTGCAGAAAAGTTGAATGAGTGCATAACTACCTGTTATTTTACTCAATCCTTTTGTATATTGTTCTCACTGGCATTGGAATAACATGCAATTTTAAAACTGATATTGAAATAATTATATATATATATATATATATATATATATATATATATATATTATGAAAAGGGTTGTTAAAAAGCTTTTTTAAGCACAGAATAAAAAGCTCATAAAATAAATAGAATAAACACAATTAAAAAGCAAAAGGCATAGAAATAGTTTTTAAATTTCCTGATATTCCAAATAAACAAATGAAACCACTTAACTAGCTACATAAGACTACTTTGTTATATTCCATAGCCCATACACACTTGAATTATATCTTATGTAGCATCTTATGTTACTGATGCTAATAAAACATGCCCCTACAACTTCAACTGTCATCATATCATGAGGTATTTATGAGAACCTTTTCGAACTCAGGGAGAATTAAGGTCATTTTTTATCCTGAAGGTCATTTATTTACATTTCACATGCTACAAGTTCAGCAACATTGCATTTTTTCATTCAAGTAAATGCACTCGTATTTTCTGTTACACTCAAAACCATGTCAACTTTGCTCACACAAATTGTAAAACTACTTGGGATTTAATACCCAATTTCATAAATCCAATTAGCTGCAGAAGCAAATAAACAAAATAGGGTAATGTGTTATTTTATAGAGTCCTTGTTACATATGTTACATGCACTTACCATAGTAATAACAGTAGATTATTCATAATGACATGCAATACCCTCAACCAAGCCCTGATCCTACCTAACTCTATAATATGTTGTTCATTAATACTCAGTGCTTAAATATTGTTAATGGATCTGACCTTTTATCTCACACCTTTGACCCTATTATTCAGGTAGGGTACGGATAATCAAATCAAATAGAAAGCAGTTATTGCTAAATAAAAGTTCTCTTAATCTCTAAACAGCAATATTAGAGATGTAGTTAAGCGTCCCTTGTTGCATGATGCTCTCTTCACCCAGGCTGTACACACTCGTTAACATTTATGGTTGGTTACAAAAGTAGACTCAATAACCTTACTTTCACTGCTTATTGATCATCTTGGAAGTACTGCACTGTCCAATTTCACAATCATTCAAGCATTATGGCATTAACTTAAAAGTAAGCAAATAACATAACATTGACAATATCAATATCCAAAACAAAATTTCATTACACTAAGAGCACCTTAAAATAAAGTGAAGCCCAAAATAGATACTACATTTAATACATGTAACAAAATAGGAATTCAATATAAGGATATAGTAACCTGCAGCCATAATTCATTCTTTCATTGACATGAATTATATTTGTCAATAGTTGTACTAAAATTTGTAAATGGCAATAGGCCTACATGATATGATGCGTCAATAGTTATAAATTACACGTTTGTATAGCCTATCGGATAGTGTTAACCCATATTGAGTGATAAACACTCACCCGACAGAATCTGATGCCTTTAATGTTTCCGTTTTGAAGCCTTTGTGTCAGACCACAGTAATCAGTGATGCAACATATTTGGGCATCAGACAATGGAAGGGAATAGAATAGAAGTCTATAAATTGTGTCTCAAACATTTTTATACATTTAATAAATGTTTGTCACAATGTTAAGTTTTATTAATAATAGGCGAGGATTTTTTGCAGCGCCGTTGATGATGCTCGAAATGTTTAATTAGTCTCTGAGACACAGTCATTGTCTTGTGTTGTAAATACTTGTTCTTTTGGTTGGGTGAGGAATGTGCGCCATGCGGAACACTTTACGTGAACATGGTGTTCCAGCCGAGGCCATTTCACAGTCGGATCACTGTTTGTTTTGATGGCAACAGCGGTATTCCACAATACTTGTGTGAATGGCATTTATAAATATGGGTGAAAAAAACAACTTAATTTAATAGGGATGGAAGAGGCTGAGCTTTTGGCCTTTCGGGAGCGCTGGAAGCAGGAGTTGGAGAAAAACACAGACAAAGAGAGATATTTTGGGCATCTCAGTAAAGACAATTCATCTGTTCAGCAAAGCACTAGCTTTTGGGAGAAGCAGAGCAATGCGTCCCAGCAAACTCAGCCCACATCAAAAGAGCAGCCGGAGTATGTGTCGATCGCCGAGGGGTTGTTAGACGGGAGAAGTAGTCCACTGATGGACAGAATCGAGCAAGAGAGAACGCGCAGGAAACGCGCTCCCGGCAGCGACGCGCTCAACACACACGCGCCCCCCAAAAAAGAAAACAAGCGCCAGAAACTGCTTGAGCAGTTCCTTCAGGACCTGGTAACGCTCATGTTATGTAGCTATTCACGATATTAACTGTGCTTGTCTTAATAATAAACACGGGTGTTATGTGTTTACTTAAGAATGAAGTGAACGACATCCCATTCTTTGATGTGGAGTTGCCCTATGAGCTGGCGCTAAAGATTTTCCGCTTCATGGGTAGAACGGATCTAGGACGATGTGCTCAGGTAAATATAAATTAGTGCATAAATGTCCATTCTATTCAATTCTGTTCGATTATACATGATTTCCACTGACATAGGAATAGCAGGGACACAACTGTGAAAAATAGTTCACCCTCAGGTTGTTCCAAACCTGTAAGAATTTCTTTCTTCTGTTGAACACAAAAGAAGATATTTTAAAGTATTTTGGTAACCAGAGAGTTGACTTCCATATAATAGTTGGAAATAAATACTGTGGAGTGCAGGATGTGGGTGCCGCCAACTGTCTGGTTACCATTTTCATTTTTGGGTGAACTATCCCTTTAAATGATTAGTTCCCTTTGAAAATTTCCTGATAATTTACTCACCCCCGTGTCATCCAAGATGTTGACGTCTTTCACGGTTTTTGAGGAAACATTCCAGGATTTTTCTCCATATAGTGGACTTCAATGGGAACCAACGGGTTGAAGGGTCCAAATCGCAGTTTTAGTGCAGTTTCAAAAGGCTACACGATCCCAGTTGAGGAATACGAGTCTTATCTAGCAAAACAGTCTGTCATTTTGTTTAAAAAAATCTAACCACGAATGCTCGTCTTGCACGTCCACGACTTCACACATTAGGTAATTATATTTGGAAAGTACTGGGACATTTTATTATATACAGAGAATATTTGGTTTCTCACTACCACAAAGCAACACATTTGCTGTAATTGCCATCCAAATACTATGGATGTCTTGTGACATTTATTTTGTAGAAGTAAAGTGGTTAATATTCTCTTTTTTGCTTTTGCTTCAGGTGAGTAAATCCTGGAAGGTACTGGCTGAGGATGAGGTCCTGTGGCATAGATTGTGTCTAAAGGAAGGTTTTCACAATGGGGCCAGTATCTCTGACTCCCCCTGCTGGAAGAGCACGCTCAGAGACTGCCGCAACACAGAGAACGGGGTCAAGTCAAACTGGAAGGTCAGCACCATGCCATTTCTGTCCCAGCATACATTTTATTCTTAAACAAGAAATTTTATATCACATTTATATTTATTTTTATGTTCAATGGATTTAACTTTAATACATTATATATATATATAATGAGTAATATGAGTATGAGTAAATTATAAGTAATTTAATTTGTCTTAAAAATATGTTTTTACACTTTGTAAACGAACAGAATCGTGTTGGATCCATTCGTCACCTGCAGTACGAGTTAGGAAAGGTGTTGTGTGACGTCAGTTCCTGTGCTGGTCTTGTTATCGCTGGGTGTGTATTACTAAGGCGCATATAATTAATTAACCCTGTGTTTTCAATTATCCCAACACTAATCCTATAATCATTGTGTGCATCTGTTCTATACAGTTACACCTCTGGTGATGTCCGTCTGTGGGACACGCTTCACTGGGACAAATCATATCTGTACCCCACACATTCCATCAGAGACGAAACCCCTGCCCCATATGTTAGTCACGTACGTGTCAATAAGACTGTAGCCACAGCTGCTTATGAGAATGGTAAGACATTTTTACTTTTTTTTTTTCACTACCTTCTTTATGCTGAAAGGAAAACACGTTTCCTTTTTAAATTTTGTTTTGCTTTTTATCCCTGTAAAGCTGCTTTCAGACAATCTGCATGGTATAGAGCATAAGTAATGTGACGGCTCCATAAATCACCATGTTTTTAGGAAGAAAAAAAAATTAATACAACTAGACGAAGCAGACCCTTATGTAAAAACCTTTAGAATCTGAATAGGAATAAAACTGGAGATTTGATGTATGCAAGTACTGTATTTATTTTAGCCCCATTTCCTTTCCACAAGTGGTTATTCCACTTGTCAGGCCTCCATTGTAAATAAGAACTTGTTCTTAATGAAAAAAGAAAAAAAAAAGTACTGTTGAGGTGGACATTTTTGAGAAGCTACAGATAAAAATAGATAAAGTGCAAAAAATGAAACACTTAAAAGTGTATTTTGAATGTTTTCTTTTCACTAGTTTGAATTAATACTGCAACACATGTATGTATGTATGCAACACTGTTAGTTAATAATGGTTAACGCATGAACTAACTTTAGACTTTTAACTGAAATTGTAATTCTGATCATACATTTTGTTGTGTATGTTAAGGGTGTGTGGATGTGTGGAGCACTGAAACCGGTCTTGAGCCCATTCACCGGTACCAGCACCTCAGTAGGGTTCATGCTCTGGATCTAAGTCCTGACAGTCCTGCTTTGGCCTCTGCATCAGGACCAGAAGTGCGGGTGGACGCGCCAGATGAGAAGGGCTACTGGAAATCACGATGTCTCGTTCAGTTACCAAAGCCTGTAAGTCTAATATGAGACATGCAGAGCAGATGCATATAATGATGACAAAATGACAATGCATGTGGGTTATTTTGCCACCAGCAAGGCATTCCATAGAATTAAAGCTACACTGTGTAACTCTTTTAGTTTATTCTTAGCTAAAAACACTTAGTTTTTTCAAAAATATAAGTGGTCATTAATGTATATTTACTTCTTTCAAGTAATAAAGTATTCTCGTGAGTGTATAATATGCCATTGAAAATACATACGGGTAAGGGGTTCTAATGTCGGTCGCCATGTTGCCCCTCCTCTTGAAAGTACATTAGCCAAAGAGTGACATACCCGTTAATTCAAGCTTCGCCTTTCGCGTTTACGTTTGAGTTAACACTCATGGACGAAGCCATGTTAATCTTGGACTACATTGGCCACCGTAGGAGTTAAAACGAAATCGGAATTGAGAGGAACAGAAACTAATATTCCCTGGATGGTCATATACCTTTTCACAGCTAGATGGGGGTAAAAATCACACAGTGCATTCATGCATTCATAACTCACACAAAAGAGTGCATAAGCACTAACCAGTCATGTATTCATCAGAGAAACTGTGTTTTTCAGGTAGATGGGGTATTGGTGGTGCCAGGGAGACGGGACTTCCCTTTGGTCACAGCATGGGCAGGAGAGAGCGTTTACCTGCTGGATTCCAGATGGAAGGAAGAACAGGAGCCAAAAGTTCTTCACTTTGTGTACGACCATCCGGTGACCTGTGTGGACGTGTCATCCTGCAGAGCCGTCCTGGGGATCAAAAGCTGCGGATGGGGCATGAATGATGGAGGCAACAAGGTATCTGTGTCCAGAATTCTGAAAATATATATCCTTGTCTCCACATAAAATATTACAAAAAAAAAATACAACTGTTTTCAACATTGATAGATAGTTATAAGAAATGTTTCTTGAGCAGTAAATCGGTATATTAGAAGGATTTCTGAAGGATCATGTGACGCTGAAGACTGGGGTAATGATGCTGAAAATGCAACTTTATATCACAGAAATAAATTACATTGTAAAATTACACTGTCAAATTTTAAATTTAAAAAATTCTAATAATATTTCACAATATTACTTTTATTTGTGCTATTTTTGTTCAAGTAAATATAGCTATAGTGAGCATAAGAAGCTTCATTTTGGGGTGTGGTCCTGGTCAAGACAATCTCCTGAACTCCAAACTGAATGTTAGAATGGGAAATAAAGGTGATTTAAGCAAGTTTGAGCGTGACATGGTTGTTGGTGCCAGACGGGCCAGTTACTGGGATTTTCATGCACAACCATTTCTAGGGTTTACAAAGAATGGTGTGAAAAGGCGAAAATGCCTTGTTGATGCTAGAGGTCAGAGGAGAATGGGCCGAGTGATTCAAGCTGATAGAAGAGCAACTTTGACTGAAATAACCACTCGTTACAACCGAGGTATGCAGCAAAGCATTTGTGAAGCCACAACACACACAACCTTGAGGCGGATGGGCTACAACAGCAGAAGACCCCACCGGGTACCACTCATCTCCACTACAAATAGGAAAAAGAGGCTAAAGTTTGCAGGAGCTCAACAAAATTGGACAGTTGAACTCTGAAGTTGATCACTGCAGTTCCTGTGTTGTGTTTATTTGAGCTTTCATGCATATTACACATTGGAACGTTGTTGCTGTTCACGGTCAGGGACTATTTTTCTAGCCGAAGGAACGCTTTTAGTGATTTTACTTCATGAAAGATGCACTAATACATTTTTTTTTCTTTAATACTGGTATTGTGTGGTAACCGTTTTATAAAAGTAATAAGGTACTCAGCAATAAAGTAGCGGCTGAATGGGTTACTCCGCTTCGCGTCGTGCCTTACAACGTCCTTCAGCCGTTACTTATTCACGATACAGCACAACGCCTCTCGTACCTTATTGCTTACATTAAGCATACGCCATTTATCTTGTTTAACACATACATTTGCTGTAACACATTGTTTTTGCCTTTATTGCAATACTATAGTATAGAGTTGACAGAAAGGAAAGTGAGAGATAGAGAAGGGGACGTATCGGGGGACTCAAACTCGTGTCGCAAATGCATAATCACACTATATGTCAGAGCACTGCCCATGAGGCTATCGGCTCCGACAAAACGACCTTCTTTTGTTGCCTGACCTCACCAAGCAGTCTTATTTTTCAATACCATTCTGTTATGCAATGCCACTTTTCATAATCAAATCAATTTATAAAAAATTAAATCAAGTCCCACCATACATTTTTTTTCCGTTGAATATCTTATTGTCAATGTAGGAAACTAATGGGGCAAGTCTTTCTGTGCCATATACAGGTCTGATAAATGATTGGCTATTTTTTACAGAAGGAGGCAAATTTAATTTCTTTCTCCATTTCCTATTTTAAGCTGCCTTTTATTTGCATATCCATTCTTATTGGTTAATTTATGCATCAGAAGAGACATTAGGTTTTCGAGATTTGATTCTTTTAAGCAGTCTCTTACCAGAGTAATCTCTTACTAACACAAAATTTGATTATTTTTGTGTGTTGTTTTATATAAAATACATTTTTGAGGTCAATGGGGAGTAACCTGAGGTTTAGAGCGTTGCTCAAGGGCAAAGTGGTGATATTTTAAGAATCATTTCTCAGTAGGTTTGAACCTACAGGTTTTTTTGGCTTACCTGCTTTGACCACTAAGTCGCACCACCACATGATGTCAACAAGTGCAGTCTGGTGATCTCATGTGGCCAATCCCTGTTGTTTACATAATTTGAGCCCACTAGTGAAGTGCATTGTGACCGTATTCCCAAAGTCACGTTGAATAAAAAGTTGCTCTGTGCTCATGTTATTATCTTAGGAATAGACCCGTTACTTTAATTAACACAAAATTGGGTCCCAATGCTTCTCCCAAGATTCCCTAGTTTGTTTCTAACTCTGGCGTGCCGTATATGGTGCAAAGTACTGTTATTTTAGTAGCACTAATTACTCCTATAAATAAAAGCTCCAAAAGGGGATTTTCACAGTGATGCCAATGCCATAGAAGAACGATTTTTGTTCCCCAAAGAACCTTAAAGAACTATTATTTAAAAAAAATCTAAAGAACCTTTTGTGGAAGTAATATGTTAAAGTAATATGTTGAGTATAAAAATTCATCTCTGCGACACTTTTACATTAAAAATCCCTCAATTCTCGCCATCTCTGAAAAGCCAAGCCAATTTTGATTCTTGTTTTATTACGAGCTCTGGGTTTTTTTGGTGCTAGCAGAAGCACCTCTGTTAGGGGTTAGATCCTCTGCATCCTCGAAGGTTGGAGATTTAGCGCTTCATGACAACTTTTCTTGCTCGTTGTAACAACTACCCTATGCCACCCAAAATAGCCGGAGCAACTTTTCTCTGTTTACGGATATATGACGGGATGGCACATGGACGTAGCCTGGCATGCCAGTCCTACATCAAGATGTTAGGTCTGGCAAGTCTTTCAAATTCTTTCTGCACGCAATTTGATAGCCCTACAACCAACCAGAGCAATGAACGGCTGTGGATGAGTGAGTCCCATGCGTTTTCCATATATTGTAAAATAAGGCATTTTCCCTCCAGCGGAGCTAGTTGATATATTAAAGAGTAACTAAACACTTAACCAACTTTTTTTAGTTAATGATCGGTAAGAATGGATCTTTATTAATACCAGTCATTGATTCGAGTAACTTTTTTGACATTTGTTTATAAAGTGTTCTATTTCTACAATATATGGTGTAAAAGCGTCTTAGTGCTGCCCTCTTCAGGTTGAACGGTGGCTACTGCAGTTGAATTTTCCTATTGGATGTTCCGCACTACGCAGGTTTCAGCTCACCACGCGAGCTACGCCCTTGGCAATATAAAAACCATCTTGTGTCGTCAAAACCACTGTAGGGAGTCAGGAGTTGGAATTGTGAGTATTGAAAACGATCAGGATAGAGTGTTTTAGCATCTATTTTGTCCCCTCTATCTCCGCTGGGGTCTGCCCACTTTTTCAGCATTTTCAAATATTGCCAGTGGGTGGACTCCAGGGTTTTAGTTACCCTTTAAACTTTTAATCTTCCTTTTTTAAATATGACTCAAGTGCCGTTCTTTGTTCTGTTTTCAAAGAAAAGCTTAAGTTCAAATCATCCAGAGAAGCGGTCAAAGCCGAATCGAAGCCAGCTGTTCGCCAGCAGCAGCCATTCTTTGTTTTTAAGTAGCAGTGAACGTCGTCATTATGTTAATTCCGCCCACCGACTCTATACACGATGTGATTGGCCTGACCAGAGTTTGGTTTTTCCAGCTAAAACGTCTATGGAGAGTTGCTAGACCACACTGGCTTCTAAATAATTTTTGCTGCCGCTAGGGTGCGTCTAGATTTCTAGTCTAACATGGACGAGTGACGCAAGTACACAATTTTGCTTGAAAATTGTTCCGTTCATCAAAAATACAAACACTTATAATAGAATCAGGGTAAGACAAAAGCACATTTTGGAAGATAAGAAGGATTGATGGTGTAATGAGTTCTGAATTTTGTTCATTTTGAGCAAAAAAGTTACACAGTGCACCTTTAATTTTTTATATTTTCTCTTTTAATTTGAATATAAATTATTTTTAATAATTTTGCTTTTTGGTTTTGTTTAAAAACAAGTATATAGTTTTTATTAGGTTTCAGTTTGTTTTGTTTATTTTATTTCTTAAACTAAACAAAAATGAGAAATGTTGGCTTGGGAACTGGCTAGAATAGTCCTACAGATAAATGGCTAGAAATAAGCCTATCTTTATACAGTTTATTTTATTTCAGTTAATGTTTTATTTAAAATAACGAACAAAGTTTTTATTGTTTCAGTTGACGATAATAATAACCCTGTTTCTCCAGAGCTTTGAGTTTGACCCTGATTAAAAGCCCAAACATCATGTGAAAATAGACCTTAAAACAAACCTATCCAAATCACAATAGCCTCCCTCCAAGTCCCCAGCGTATTTATGCAACCGTTTAAATAGACAGCATTCATGTCTGGGGGGGAGATCAGTGCTCGAGGGGGAGGGATGGGTTTTCTCAGGGGAAACTGGTAGTTTTTCAGTGAAGCGAAAGGCGTACATGTTGACAGTAATCAGATGAGTGCTTGATAGATGAATGCAGATGGTGTCCTGTTGTATCACACAATGCTTTGGCTCTCTTTCTCCATTGACATCACCCCCATTTAAACACTCTCATTAACCAAACGGGCACCGGGGCGGCTATTTAGAGTGAGCCGAGAGTTTGAACGACAGGACAGTTTGTCAAAGTCAGCCTCTAGTGGACTGTCTTGTTTCACTCTTTAATTGAAGGTGTTACAAGAATATTTCTCATTGATCATCTTGTACAAATTTTTGACAAACTGTTCAATTGCAAGTATAATCACCTTGGATGTTTAAGTCATTTCGACTTAAATTACGTTAAAGGAGTTGTTCACTTTTCAAAAAACTTGCTGATAATTTACTCACCCCCACGTCATCCAAGATGTCATTCTTTCTTCAGTTGAAAAGAAATGAAGGTTTCTTTTTCCGAGTCATTTGGTTCATTCAACGAACAAAACGAACAAATTGACTCGGAAAAATATTTGTTCATTTTGATGAACGAGTTCGAACAGGAGAGTCACGAACGTGCATCGCAGAACAGCAAGGCGACCATTTGAGCTTATAAAACTTAAACTTAAACTTTTTTTTTTTAAATGAGCGATAAGACCCCTATTCATCGTCTGGAATCATTTAAAGCCCTTTGAACAGTTTGCAGTTTGCACTGAAACTGTCTTTTGGAACTTGAACCGTTTGGTTCCCATTGAAATCCATTATATGGAGAAAAATCCTGGAATGTTTTCATCAAAAACCTTAATTTTGTTTCGACTGAAGAAAGAAAGACATGGACATCTTGGATGACATGAGGGTGAGTAAATTATCAGCAAAAGTTTTTTCAAAAGTGAACTTTTGTATAACTTATAGAAGAAAAAAAAAAAACTGTTTTAATGAGTTTTCCAGCTTTAGTTTTTACAGTTTGGTGGAAAGTGCAATGCTTGATTATAATGTGTAAACGTAAAGAAAATTTGTTTATAGAATAAATGGAAAAAGTTATGAATCTTGTGACTCTGAAGACTGGAGTAATGATTCTGAAAATTCAGCTTTGTCATCAGGAATAAATTGCACTGGAAATGATTTTCAAATAGAAAACAGTTATTTTAAATTGTAAAATATTTGACTGTATTTTTGATCAAATAAATACAGTCTTTGTGAGCACAAGAGACTTCTTTTGAAAACATTTTTCATGTTCTCAAACCTCTCGTCTAACAAGGCTAATGTGTTGTTTTCCTCATTTACCATCATTCTACTAAGATGTGGACATTTTTTGACACATCTTTCTTTAGACTATCTAGAACCTCAGGACTTTATCTGGCGCTATTATTGAAGCACATTTAGCAGGAATCATACTCATTTGTTTCATGTTGTGTCACTCCAGTCCACTGTGAATCCGCGTACTCTACAAGTTTAATTCCTATTCATGATTAGCACCTTTCGCATCCGCGTGTAATGCCATGTCTGTCAGCCGTGTTGCATGTTGACAGGATTTTCAAACTGCGAGAGGGAAGTCAGACGTGCCAGAACTGATGCTGGTGAATCCAAGGTGTTTTTGTGTTATTAAATGAGAAGACATATGCCTCATTAAAACTTGTCAAAAACAAAGGAGGCAAATGGAGTAACAGATTGAGTCATATGTTTTGGAGTTTATTTCTGAACTTTAGCACTAATAGTACTTTTGAATTACTATTATTACCACTGCATGTCTATGATTACATGTAATGACTAGGACAAGAATTGGTTCTCAGCAGTTTTTACCATGATGTCTATAGTAGACACTTTTACATGTTTCAATCTGTATTGGTTTGTTTTTCTCTAGCTGCTATATTTAGTGTGCTAGTCAAGTGTGGTTTTTTTTTTAGCTTTCTGTTTTAATCATCTTTGTTTTTAAGCTGGAAGACTGGAAGCTCTGGGCATCTGTTGTGTATGTGTGTGTTTGAAGCACTGACCCAGACACACACACACACACACACACACATGCACATGCACATCATGCTGGCAAACCCTGAGGCGCCACTTTCATGTTTAACAGCCAGAGAGGCTGGTGAAAATGTGGCACACTGTTGCACCTCCAGGTGCTGAAAATCAGAGATATGCAGTGTCTCGTGAGATCAGTATGAATCTGATTAACATCTTCACTCTGATCGAATTTCTGGAAGATAATAAAAAATGTATAATTATACCAAATATCAGGGGATGCATTAAAAATGTAAATGATTTGATGATTTTTTTAGATGTATTTAACAGGGTTTTTTCTACCTAGAAAAATGTCTAATTACCACCAAACAAGGATTATAATAACCAATCAATTTTAATTTGATTTGAATTCATTTTATTTGATTTTATATCTCTTTCATCCAGTAAACAAAGTGCTATATTTGCTTCATTGTAGGTACCAAGGCTTAATTTTAGATTTTTTAGAGTCTGTAACTTTTTTGGGTTAAAAATTAACCCAAAAACATTATAAAGCTTTTCCAAGCTTTATAATGGCAGTGAATGGCAGTTTTGAAGTCCATAAAAGTGCATCTGTCCATCATAAAAGTGCTGATCACTGCCATTATAAAGCTTGGAATAGCCAAAACGTTTTTTTTTATATTACTGTGATTGTATTCGTCTGAAATAAGATTGTCATAAACACCTAGGATGACTTGAGGGTGAATAAATCAAGGGCTAATTTTAATTTTTGGGTGAACTAACCCTTTAATCCTATAATATCTAAACCTAACAGGCGGTACCAATTAATATATTCAAATAAATTATAAACAAATAAATTAATATATTCAAATAAATATATTTAAATAAATTCTGAATATAATCATGAATTTATTTATCACAACCTGACTCCAAACTTTTGAACAGTAGTGTACATTTTTAATGAATTGAAAATTATTTTGTATCATTTTAAATGTATTTTCACATGGCAAAATTTAATTTTGATGCATATGTATAATAGTGATGTGTATATGAAAATGCTATTTGTGAAATGTACTCAACCCAACGCAGAAGCTAAATCATTGTTTACTTGTGTAAACGTCTCCACAACCTCCTGAAGCCTGTAATGATGAATAAATCCCCAACATAATCCCAGCAGTCGTTGACATATGCACTCATCGCGGATTCATTCTAATCAGCTTTCCTCCTCAAGTCTTTACATATTGTAGCTTTACACATTGGAAGCTGTACTCGTGTCTTGATGACAAACTCCCATTGGCTGTCATTTTTGGTTCCTCTCAAGGATTTTGGCTGGCAGCACGGTGGCTCGCAATTAAGTGTGTCTGGCCCAAACTGAAGGCACTAAATAGCTGGCATGAGCTCAAATCTGACATCATGCGGTTCTTCTCTCTTCTCCCTCTTTTGTTTAACGTCTCTATCTGTTGCCTTAAAGTTTGCGTCCAATTTGGCCCGTGTCGTTGTGTGTCCTTTGCTCGCTGTTTAAATGGCAGCTGATGCAATCAGTTAACCAGTCTCTTTTTTTAGGATTGAATTACCTCGGAGACCGTTTAATGTGAGCGGATTAGTCAAAAGCTTCAGATGTTTTAAAGCACCTGCATAGACTCACGGTACAATGGTTCATAATCGATCATTGAACATTGAAGTGAGTGTCAGAGACTAGTTTGCAGTTTAATAGACCTGAACTGTAGGAAATATATAAGTGCACACGTAAATGAAAGTGTGCTCTAAAATATCAATGCACTTTTGTGAGAATTGCATACCTGATTGCATGTGCACTACCCTATTTACACTTTGCTTTTAATGTTTATATCTTATTGCTACGTATGCACCCATAAACATGTGGTTGGTCACATTGCATGTTTAAAGCCAGCTTATTAAATGAGAAATGCTTAGCTCATGAATATCTGTAAAAATGTATTTGTGCATTTTCAAGGCAAAACTAAATTTAAACCGATTACGTTCACTTTCAATTGCACGAAGAGTTTCTGTTTTAGTCATGGTAAAATGTAAAGGACTCAAATGACACCTTATGCACTAATGCTCAAAAGTTTGGGGTTGGTAAGACTTTTTAATGCTTTTGAAAGAAATCTCTTATGCTCGCTAAAACTGCATTTATTTGATCAAAAACAGTATTGCAATTCATAACAATAATAATAATACAAAAATATATTTTCTATTTCAATATATTTTTAAATGTAATTTATTCCTGTGATCAAAGCTGAATTTTCAGCATCATTACTCCAGTCTTCAGTGTCACATGATCCTTCAGAATTCATTCTAATATGATGATTTGCTGCTCAAGAAACATTTCTTATTATTATAAATGTTGAAAACGGTTGTTGTGCCACTTAATATTATTATTGAAACTGATATATTTTCTTTTTTCATGATTTTTTTTTTAAAGAGTAGAAAGTTTAAATGAACAGCATTTATTTCATTTTTTTAAAGGGATAGTTCACTTTGAAATACATTTTTGGTATGTTTTAGCTTACCTCAAGAGCATCCAAGATGTAGGTGTCTTTGTTGCAGTAGTTTCAATTTTGATATTTTTAGGTCAAACCGTTCTTGTCTGTCAGTCATATAATGCAGGTCTATGGTCACCACCTCAAAGAGCATGCACAGAGAAGTCCAAATTAAACATGATTTAATGATTTGTAAATGTAAGTACACATTGATGGCCTAAGACACGAAACGAGCGGTTTGTGTGAGAAAACGAACAGTATTTATATCGTTTTTACCTCTTGTAACCACAGACACATCCAAGTGATCTGAGGGCACGGGCGCTTCGGTCTCTCGCGATCTCTCGCGCGGTTGCAGAAAAAAGTCAATGTTGTCTGTTGAGAAATCGAAATCTTCCATTGAGATTGCCTGTATATCTAAATATGTTTAGATCTTCACAGTGAAAGGTAATGCTTCGGAAATCTCTGTGCAAATAATGAGTGATGTACATGCGCGAGAAATCACTTCCAGCGCTTGTGCAGACCGAAACGCCCACATCTTCAGATCGCTTGGACGTTGCTGTGGTTAGAAGAGCTAAAAACGATATAAATACTGTTCGTTTTCTCACACAAACCGATCGTTTCGTGTCTTAGGCCATCAATGTGTACTTACATTTACGAGTCATTAAATCATGTTTAATTTGGAATTCTCTGTGCATGCTCTTTGAGGTGGTGACCATAGACCTGCATTATATGACTGACAGACAAGAACGGTTTGGCCTAAAAATATCAAAATTGAAATCCCTGTGATAACAAAGACACCTACATCTTGGATGCCCTTGAGGTAAGCTAAAACATACCAAAAATGAATTTCAAAGTGAACTATCCCTTTAAATAAATGTATTATTTTCTTACATTTTTTGAACGTTAGTGTACTGTTCAATTCAATGGAACATCAATTCTCTTTAGATTAAAGCATCTGCATAAGTGAGAATCTTAAAAAGCTAAAATGTTTTAAAAGTGTGTTAGAAGTTCAGAAGGCATGCAAGAATTTTTAGAAATGAGTTATCTGGCATCTGTGGATGCAAGCTGTGGGCTTGACATTTGAACCGTCGCAGGTGTTGCTGCACAATCCTGCCAGTTTTACAATCTATCTTCCATCTCACCAGGAGCAATCGTCCTCTCTCCTCAGATTCAGGTGTACAGCCTGGAGACCGGCCAGTGTGAGCTGACCGTGGGGAACTCGGCGGGAGACTTCACCTGCGTCAACCTGAGAGACAGCCCTCCTCACCTGCTGGTGTGTGGGAACAAAGACAGGCGGTACGACACACTCGCAAACATGTGTACCTCATCTATCACTGTTAGATTCACACACACACACATGCGTTTCTGTCTTCTGTCTGGCAAATTAAAGCCTCCCGTGGCTTGAGTTTCTTAAACACTGAGAGTTTAATGAGTTCCAACAGAATAGTAGCGTTTCTCATTTACACCTGCAGCTGGTGTGAATTCTGTTTGTTTTTTTAGGTTGGATTGCATTTTTCTAATGCAACTAGTGTTATTTTTTAGGGTTAGGGGAAACATTTTGAATGGCTGTATATAATGAAGCCTGTTGACACATTGAGCCTTGGTGTTCATGTGAGACAGGTTTGATGTGTGTTCATCTCATTCTCAGCTCTCACAAAACCCTTTAAGAGCATGTTTTGCATAATTACAATGATGCCTATTTTTATGACCATTAAAGGGATAGTTCACCCCAAAATTTAAATTGTGTCACCATTTACTCACCCTCAAGTTGTTCCAAACCTGAATGAGTTTCTTCTCTTGAACACAAAAGAAGAAGTTTTGAAGAATGTTGGTAATCAAACAGTTGACGGGAGACTTCCATTGTAGGAAAAAAAAAAAAATACCATGGAAGTTCCATCAACTTTCTGGTTACCAACATTCTTCAAAATATTGTAAATATTGTAAAGTGCAATCAGTACTTTACATGTAAAATAGAAATACTACCAAGGCTGCTTCTATTTGATCAACTGCATGGTAAACTGTAATATTGTGAAATATTATTACAATTTGAAATGGATGTTTTCTATTTTAATATATTTTAAAATGTAATTTATTCCATATTATTCTGATATGCTGATTTGGATCTCAAGAAACATTTCTTATTAGTAGTAATGTTGAAAACAGTTTATCTTAAAACAGCTTATGCAACATTTTTGTGGTAAACGTAAAACATTTTATTAACCAGAATTAACTGATATTCATTGAACATTGAAAATAACAGAATTTATTTGAAATATAAATTTGTTTGTAACATTATAAATGTCTTTACTGACCAATTTAATGTATACTTGTAGAATAAAATTATGAAAAGTACTGAACCCAAACTTTTGAACTGTAGTGTTTTTCCCCATTACAGTTAAAAGAATGGGATTTTGTTGCTTTTACAGTTCATCATATTTTTTCTATAAACAAAAAGCTAACAAACTAATACATTTATTTATTTATTAAAAAAACAACAACAAATTGTTCTTTTTTCCAAAGTAGCCAGATCCATTGAATGTTTTTCTTTTCTTTTTTCTCATTTAATAAAATTGGGTATAGGTATTGTTTATTTATTTTTTTTGCAGTTAAACAGAGTGGAAATGCAGACCAAAATCGTGTAATACTTTCATTTTTACGTTATGACAAAAGTCACCAAGTTTCGTACCATTGCAACACAAATAAATCATTTTCTTTTGATTCTAACTAATCTAACCCCCCCCCCCCCCCATATAATTTACATGGGATAATTGTAATATGCTGAATTTTAAATGACACAATGACACTTTAAAACTTTTTGCTGAGAATGCATTTTTTTAATGTTCCATAGCAATTTATTCACATTCTATTCACTTTTCCAAATTGGAAATTCTAACTTTGCAAGGCTTTAATAACTTTAAAAATGTTTAAAACTTTAAATTTAGATTCATCTAGACTAGAGAGTATAAAAGAAATAATGTGATTAAGGGGGCAAAAGAAATCAGGTCAAAGTCTGACTTCGAACCTCTAGCCCACAGCTCTGGGAACAGAAGTTTTTATTTTTTATGTGTTGGTTCATTGTCCGCTGGCCACATACAGCAGATTTGGATAGTTTAATAGATTTGCATTATATATACAAGATTAAAGCACTTAGAATAAAACACTCCTAATTATTTCCAACGTGGAAAAACTTTTTCTCCCCACAGCTGTGGTCCTTTTTAAAAGCACGACAAGCACCCTTACTCTCAACTATTTTTGGCTTACCTTGAAAATCATTTTACGGAAAAGCATCTGAAAAGCTCAGGCACTTATAGAAGTGGGAATGGGAATAATGAAAGCTCTCGGTTTGAAAGGATGGTGTTATTGTCAGCGGTGCATCACCGAGGGCTATTGATTTAGTGGACAAAGAGATGTTGGAGACGAGGAGAGAGACGCGGTACATCTGGCCAGCGGACTCAATACAGAGCCACGAACGCGGTCCACATCTGATGCTTGTGTCTCAATTAGTCTTTGCCGAATAAAGAGCCATTTCATTGACACTTGTGACAGCGGGAGCGCTACTTTGGCAGGTGGAGATGCTTGGCAGGTCTTTGTAAATAAATTCCAACTGCATCTTCGCTCAGACACTATATAGAGTGCCAAGAGGGAGGACATGATGTCTCTGGCCAGCTGCGGTGTCTTCTAAAACATCCTTTTTTGTGTGTCTTTCTCTGTCTGTCTTTCCATGCTCCCGACAAAGCAAAAGCTCTCACCTTTTGTTCGTCTTTGATGAATGAACCAAGCGAAACGCTCCTTGGAGTGTCATTTTGGCTGTAATGATTTGACCCCATCTGATTCATCTGTGGGCAAAACACCAAACAGCTCAAAGGAAATGAGGGCTCGGGTCTTGCCCTTTATTAGCGTGGCCAAAGGCCAGGACCTAATGCATCAGTTCTGCTTTCCAAGTTGTGCTGCGGAGAGAGAAGTATCTCTGTTTGTGTTGTTGTGCCTGATTGGATCTGCTTGGACAGACATCTGAACAAGAAGTGTACACGGATAGGGGCCATACGTGATCGGTATCTTCAGCTCCACGCATGGAAATTGCGAACAGATTGATGATGGCCATGATGAAGTGGTTTTGGTCTATATAGCTAATTTTGCCCTTCGTGACAACTGTTACCCCTTTTCCACCCAAAACAGAATTGGTTCGGAATGGTTTAAAGTTGGTTTGGAGTTGGTTCAACTTGCAAACCTTTTCATCAGAACCTGTTTGTTTTTCCACTGACTAGAGCGCCCAGGGAACGACGTCGTTACATCACTGTGTACGTCGCCATACTTCTTAGCTAGAAACGCTCGCAAGTACAACATTACTTTGGGATTATCTCTAACTCGTGTACCAAGAAGGCTTTAAAAACAATTGAAATATGTAAGTCTTTTAATCTTTTAATATTCTTTATTTGTTCTATATTGTGACCGTTTTCTTCTTCGCTTATAATGTTTTCAATAAAAAAAAATGTCAAAAATTGAAACGCTTGCGCCAACTTCAAACATAACAATTACAAAGACAGACTCCATCGTGTTTCCGCAAATGTTTCTCCTGGCTTTGCGATCCTTTATTATGGTCAGAAAAGATGTTTAGAACTCATACAAACCCGCCCCAGCCCCCGTCGTAAGCATGACGTGGTAAAAGAACGGTTCTAGTCCAGCAAAGAGTTGGTGCCGCTTTGGAACCAGGTTTCCTGGCCGAGAACCGGTTCTTTGGCTGTCGAAACACAAAGAACTGGTTCGCGCGCAGGCACCGGCTCCGAACCGGCTCTCAAAATGCTTTGGTGGAAAAGGGGTATGTGAGGGGCGTCATTTTTTTTTTATGTTACTCATCCGTTTAAATTAGCCTGACTTCGTCAAACTTATATTCTAGAGAGAATATGAGTCTGAAACTCCTCCATTGGGCTTTGATTATGAGGCGTGTCGTAACCGGACCAGGACAAAAAAAAAACCTCTGCACTCAATTGGATAGTCGGTAGACCTACAACCAATCAGAGCAACGCAGTAAGTCAACTCCTTTGCATAGCGCAGTTTTCAAATGCAGAACGTAGCCTACTTTATTTATTTTAGAAGTTAAATAACGAGTGTTACTTCTTTTACTTACTTCTCCATGAGTGCCACCAAAGGAGAAACCACAACGACCACAGGCTTTTCATTACGTCCCATCTTCTTAAAGACCCTCAGAGCCAGCTGATAAGTTGCACTTTTCCCGAATCATGTAGAAAGGACGCCAAAAATATCTTTCCGATTGACAAATGCCTTGATTGCAGTTCTCAGTTTGTCTATTAAAATGAATGCGCTGTCGATTTATTTTACAACAGACGCGACAGCGGAATCTATACATCTCAATTCTCCAGCTGCAGTCATCTTTGAAAAGCGCACTTTGATGACGTGAGGATTACGTTACTGAAGACCACCTGTCAATCATCGTATGAAGCCCGCCCTGGCAATTTGATTGGCCCGATGATTTCTGAACCGATCATAATTACTCCTCAATGGATCGAGTCCAGACCGAACTTCCCGACTAAACAATGTTGTGGGCGGAGTTCGGGCTGGCATCCAGGCTACGTTTAATTTTTATTAAGCCTTAAAGTTCTGCATAATTAAGGGCGTGGCCACTTGAGTGAAAATAATCCCGCCTCTTTGCCCATTTTCGGTTATCCGGGAGTGACGCGCTGCCAAGAAGGCGGACTTTTGGACTTCAGAAATGCTCTTCAGAAACCTATGGGTGACGTCACGGACACTATGTCCATATTTTTTTTTTTTACAGTCTATGGTGTCGACCCACTTTTTCAGTTGCATTTTTTTTTTCCCCCATTCATTTTACCCATAGGGATTTATTAATTTTTTTAGTTAATGCATTCTAAGCCATGAACTAAGCATGAACCAACCTAACCAGCTACAAAGTGAATCAAAACATTGCACACTTTTATTTTAAGCAAAAACGTATTTGAAAATCTGACAAAAAGGCAAAGGTACAAGACTGTGTACTTGATGGCTATAAGGAGGTAAAGAACTACAATCCCATGAAGCATTGTGAATGACATTATCACAGTGTTGAAATATTAAACTATTCGTTTAAAGTTGTTAAGTTGGATGGCATCAACAAAAGTGGTCTCACTTTACAGTAAGGTTTCATTAGTTTACATTAATTAACTACTTTAGTTAAAGGGGTGGTTCAGGTTTTTGGACATCGGGCCTCATTTCCAAGTTAGCCTTAGTGTTAGCTATTTATCAGTGGAGACAGTTTTCCAAAAAAAATATTACTTGTTGAATTTATATTACATATTACAACAGTTGAAGATAAACACCTGAGATTTTGTTTCACTGCTTATAAATGTGGTTCAGTTAATGATGGTGAGGACGCCCTTGTGTGTTATGTGTGTACATATGCTTGTCATTGCCGTGTGTGTCCTGTTGTCTTTTTGCTTACGGCTGGTGGCGTTGGAAGTGCCTGAGAAATAATATTCTTGATTAATTGAACGAAGCCTGTCTGCTGACAGCTCTGTGAAACTAGATCTTGTTTTAGCTTTAGATTAATGGCCACTGCAACCTGCCAGTAAATATATTACAGCCTCATACAACAATAAATGCTTCGATGAAATTAAAACAGGACAGTAGATGGGCACATCCACATAATTACTCACAGCATTAAATCCTGCTTGGCTATGCATTAACGATTCATTGTGACTAATATATCTTTTGTCCTCATGGTTTTTTTTTTTTTGGTCCAGGCAAAATTTAATTTTGCCGATTATCTTTTGGAAAGCAACAACATGGAGTCATTCTTTGGCTACCTTCGATACCATTAAAGAGGACAGATGGAATTGAGCTCCTTTGGGCCTGCAAAACTAATTTCTTTATACCAGCTACTAATGTCATCTCACAGTGGTGCTCTGTTAGAGGGAGAGAGCTGTCATATTGCAATTTATCCAACACATTAGTCTTGCATAGTCAAACTTTGACTAAAGTATGGTCCACTTTGCAGTTTATTCTGGCCAAGATCCGACCATTTTGTGACTGTGGTACACATAATGCTTACCATAGTTCATTTTCTTTTCAGTTTAGGGATGGGTTTTTCTAAAATAGGTTATTACAATAGTTAATATATTAATATATATATGTATTGCCTGTATATAAATATTACAATAATAGGAAAATGTGGGGAAAAAATAATTCAAATAATTGCACAGCATGTAACAGCCAACAAAACTTTTTCTTTCTTCAGTCGAAAAGAAATTAAGGTTTTTGATGAAAACATTGCAGGATTTTTCTCCATATAATGCACTTCAATGGGAACCAAACGGTTCAAGGTCCAAATGTGAGTTTCAGTGCAGCTTCAAAGGGCTTTAAACGACACCAGACGATGAATAAGGGTCTTATCTAGCGAAACGATCGGTCAATTCAAAAATAAATAAAAAAGTTTACATTTTATAAGCTCAAATGCTCGCCTTGCTCTCTTCTGTGATGTGCGTTCATGACTCTCCTGTTCGAACTCGTTCATCAAAATGAACGAATCTTTTTTCGAGTCATTTTGTTCGTTGAATCCTGCAATGTTTTCATCAAAAACCTTAGTGAACTACTCCTTTAAAGTGGAAATCAGTTTACTAAATAATGTAAACTTGACTGACTGCTTCATTTCCACATTAAGTGTAATGTATTTGACGCTGTAATGACATCCGGTTGTTTCTCTTTTCCAGAGTGAGAGTGTTTGACTTGCGTACTGGCTTGTCCGTCGTCTCTTTGTATGCCCATCACATGGGCGTGACCACCGTCCAGGCAGATGATTGGAAGGTTGTGAGCGGAGGCGGCGAGGGATTGGTCAGTGTGTGGGAGACGAGGATCGGAGCCAAACTCTGGGAAATGCACAACAGGTGAGAATGTTTGAACGCTTCAGATAAAAGCCTCTGCCAAATGCATAAATGGAAATAATAATTTATAAGGAGTCATTTAATCCAATAAAGCCTGATTAGCCATACAGATACGCAAAATAAATGATCAACATGATAAAAACGTTGCAGAAAAACCTGTGGTATACAATCTATGATTGATTTTGGCAAGTACTTTTAGTGTTATTGTAAAGAAAAGTCCACCAGTAGGTCGTGGTTCATGTATCTTTTTACTGTGAAATCTTTACAGTTTTGTATAAATTAAACGTAAGAATAACTTTTATTTTGCTAGTAATATTTCAAGATAAATACTTAGAGAACTGAAGAAACCTAGGTTTGCCTGATTATCCATACCTAATTTTTTAGGAGAATCAGGCGTATCTCTCAATCATCATTACATGTTTTACCCACCAAAATTAAAAACTACAGAGCTTTGATCATAAAAGCAAGCATTTAAATATCATCTTGCTAAGACAGATTATTGGGACACATATTGACAACTGATATCTGTATGCATTTTATTCAAGTAGACATTCTGCTGTACTGTTATAAATAACTATTAATAACTACTAATTACAAACTATGAGAATTTCATCTTACATTTTGGCCACAAAATGATCAGCAATATTGCATATTTTTGCTTAGTTTGGGCCTCTGAAAATGTTTTTTTTCCTTGTTATGTGCGATGAGCTCCATTTTCTCCTATATCATACTATATGAGCCATAATAGCCTGATGTATCAAATATGATACATATGCAGACTTCTTTTAAAATAAACTGTTTGATAAACTGTTAAAAAGATTCGGTGTCACTTTAGTTTAGGTTTTTCCAATCCTCACTATTAACTAATTGCTTATTAGCATGCATATTGCTATGATATTGGCTGTTTATTAGTACTTATAAAGTACATATTAAAGGAGTAGTTAACTTTAAACAAAAAATTGCTGATAATTTTCTCACCCACGTCATCCAAGATGCCCATGTCTTTATTTTTTCAGTCGAAAAGAAATTAAGGTTGTTGATGAAAACATTCCAAGATTTTCTCAATATAATGGACTTCAATGGGAACCAAATGGTTCAAGGTGCAAATGAGAGTTTCAATGCAGCTTCAAAGGGCTTTAAACAACACCAGACGATGAATAAGGGTCTTATCTAGCGAAACGATCGCTCATTTAAAAAATATATAAAAAAGTTTAAGTTTTATAAGCACAAATGCTCGCCTTGCTCTGTTCTGTGATGAGGGTTTGTGAATCTCCTGTTCAAACACGAGCAAATCTTTTTTCGAGTCATGACTCGAAGGGTCCTAGATAAGACCCTTATTCATCGTCTGGTGTCGTTTAAAGCCCTTTAAAGCTGAACTGAATCTCTCTTTTGGAGCTTGAACCGTTTGGTTCCCAATGAAGTCCATTATATGGAGAAAAATCCTGGAATGTTTTCATCAAAAAACCTTAATTTCTTTTCGACTGAAGAAAGAAAGACATCTTGGATGACATGGGGGTGAGTAAATTATCAGCAAAAGTTTTTTTTTTTTTTTTTTTTCCTTTAATATGTACTTTATAAGTACTAATAAACAGCAAAAGTTTTTTTAAAAAGTGAACTACACCTTTAATGCCTTATTTTGCATGACCATATTCTACATCCCTTAATCCTATAATGCCTAAACTTAACAACTACCTAACTAATTTACTGAGGCACAAGTCTTAATTAATAGTTAGTTAGTAGTGAGAATTGGACCCTAATCTAAAGTATGACCAAAGATTTTTCTGACTGACTCAGGCTTTATATGGTTAAGATCATCATTGTTTTCAAAAGCAGAACTGCATTGCGGCCACATAATTGTTCTGTCTGTAAACAGGCACCCGGTTCGCCACATACGGTTCAACAGCAGCACTCTGGTGACGGCCAATATCCCTGATGAGAAGAGCCCTCGTGGGGCTTGTATCACAGACGATGACCTCACCGCTCACCGCAGGTAAACACAGATAGCACATTATGTTCTGTTATCTTTGCTATTGTTTTTCCATCATTTATTTTGCACTTTTATTACGTCTTTAGATACAGAGGGCTGATCTGTCACTACGACTTCTCAATGGACTCATCTACACAGGACCACGTTCTGCCCATCTGTAGGTCCAACTACATCGAGTCCTCGGGCTACAGCTATAACATTGGCTTGGCGGTGCCTTATGACATACTGAGTGGTCCTTAGATTGGCATCTGATACGCCGTGATTTTGAGGCAAGTTGGACTGGGAAGAATGCCATTGAATTTGCTTTTTTAAGATAATCTAGGCTTATATTCCTTAAAACTATTTCTTTATTTAATCATAATTTGTGTAATTTTCAAAACTTTGTGTTTAGATGACACATTGAGATGTGTTTGAGGACTGGTATTATTTAATTCTAGGTCTTTTTATATATGTATTGTATCATGTTCTGTCCTTGCACAGTTTAGTATACAATACTATTAAATCATCATCTGAGAAAATGAAATACATACAAATCATACAAAATTAAGTTCCAGTGGTTTTAATGCTCTCTAATTCAACATACAATTACACAGTCCTTCAAATGTATGATTTTGTAAGACTCTTATGCTCACCTAGACAACATTTATATGATCGAAAGTAAAAGTTCAGTACAGTAAAATACAGTATTTTAATATTTTGTTTTATATTGTAATATATTTAAAAAGCATCATTACTTCAGTCTTCAGTGTCGCATGGTCCTCGGAAATCATTGTAATGTGCTGATTTCTAATCATTATTAGTGTTGAAAACTGTCGTGCTGCTTGATATTTTTATGGAAACTGGAATACATTATATTTCCTGGATTAATTAATGAATAGAAAGTTCAAAACAACGGCATTTATTGGAAATACAATTTTTTTTGTAACATTTTAAATAACTTTACTGCCACTTTGGATCAGTTTAATACGGAGCCCCTAATGGGACCTTTGACAGTGACGCAAATTGTACGCAAACCGGAAATTGTAATGCGTGCGCACGAGAAACGTATCGCATGTCCATGAGAAACTATCGCGTGCTCACGCAACACGTTACACGTGCGCACACGATAGTCTTTTTTTTTGCAAAGGCTCCATAGTTTAATGTGTCCTTGTTGAATAAAAGTACTAAAAAAGTACTTTTGTTGAAAATAAACTAAATTTTTGAACAGAAGAGTACATAATCGACAAGCAAACCATGTTTAACAATTGCAAACAAACCCATATATAATCTGGTTTATTTCACTAGTTTTGTTTTTCGAGGATGTCATGCTGTTATTTGACTAATTTGGCTGTGTTCAACCAAGTAAAAGATGAATTTGCACCAAAATACCACCGAGTTTGACTGAACGCACAACCTCTAAATATAGTATGGGAAGCATTTTATGAACTTGCATAGATGAATGATTTCAGATAGCATGCATCTACAAAATGCACAATAGGAATAAATGCAACTTTTAAAACAATGGTTATTTTATTATCTTCAGTATAAAGAAAATGTTGTTGTGAGGATTTCGAATGACAATAATGTACAAAAATATTGCACTATAAAATCCTACAGTAAATGCTGTTACTGTAAAAACTTTACACACCCTGTATCATTTATTATATAACTATGGTGGAAGGAAGCCAGATGGATTACATAAGGGCAACAAAACAATCGCTCCCTGTTGTTTTTTAGGTAAATGATAAGATTTGTGTATTCATTAACTTACGGTGGTGGAGTGTTTCAGCACTGGTTTGTTAAGGAAGACTTCCTCCATTACAAAACAATAAAAAGGGAAATTTGCAATCAAGGTTCAGTTTTTCAGTCACAATAACCCTGCTAAAAATACAGTGTACATACTACATAGTGTATCTGAAAGTATGTATGAGTCAAAAATGTTTGCGAGCATGTCAGATTTGAGATAAGAAGCCACAAAAACAACCGGGCTCAAGGGGTTGTTAAATATTTTTCAAATATGTATAAACACACTGTATTTTTCGCTTTGCCCCAGAGGTCTGGACTCTGAAGTGTATCCCCCAGAGCATGTTGTGGTCACTTCCACCATATCGCCATCATTGGAGATATTTCAGAGAAAGAAACCCAAGTAAACTCAATACTAAGGGTTGAATCCGTGGGACAAACATCGGATGTTTTAATCTAAAATAAAGTGAAAGTGCCGTTCAGAAGTGGAAATTACTCTCACTTCCCACAATGCATGGTTTCCAAGTTCCAAAAGTGAACATTCATCTTGGTCTCGATCTCGATGTCTTTCAATATCTGTTGGAGAGACGTTGAAAGTTGAGGTATGAATAGCATGCATGTAATTTTATTATTATATTTAAGGTCTCAATGAAATCAAAGTGGACAATTCTAGTTTTTTTTATGGAATTTTGCAGTATTTATTTTGAATTATTTATCCGTTTGCACTATTTACAAAAAAAAAAAAAAATGCCCTCGTAATCTTTAATCAAAATATTTTCTCCATCTTTTCTCTGATGACGTTTACTGGAGCGGGGGGCGGGACAACCTGTCACTTACATGAGATTACAGCAATTCGATCCAATTATTTACCAATGGACAAAATAAAGTCCCGCCTTACATTTATTTTTTATTCATTAAGTTGTTTCACTCAGATATATATCACAATAGGAAAGAGATGACTGTCGCAACTTCTGTTTCCTGTCAACTTCAAAGTATACTTCCGCCTGAAGTCATTTTTGTCATCAGGAGTGTCCGCATACAGTGTGCAGCCTAATTTTTGTGTCCATGTGGACAGTGTGCATACAACAGCACATGTATGAGTGACGAGTGCTAGAAAACAAAGTTTACTCGATAGTATGCACAAGCCGAATGTGCTTTTCCGTGCTCACGGCCAATGGAGCAGAATACAGAAAATGAAGTATACCCAGGCCATAAAATGTTATAGAGTGCAAACCTGCATGAACTGTTCAAAGGTTATTCCCTCATAAAATTCATCAGGACCCTAAAAACAAAAAAGGTTTCAGTTAGAAGATCACATCAGAATTTGACATTGCAGTGGAAATCAGATGAATTTACAATTAAGAGAAGCAATTTAATTAATCATAACTAACACTTATTTTTCTTGCAGGAACAACATTCATATGCTTTTGAATGTTGTACTGTATGTTTCCAAATCCTTTGGTTAAAAACTTGTGACTTTTTTTTTACCCTTATATAAATAACAAATAGGGGAAATTAAACTAGACAGATGTCTAGGTTTCAAAACTTGTATTCACAAAAACAGAGTTTGCTTCTACCTAGTAACAGAAGGGTTTAATTATGCAATGTATCATGTCATTTTCGCCATGCTCCTATTCTATAGACCATTTTGCTAGATGTAAACAACACTGGTCCAGAAACACTTCCTGTTTCAGTTTGTAACTGTTTTCTTTATTTCACATGTAAAGAAAACATCTTAAAGATGTTGTTTAACTTTTTGATTCAGTTTTACATGTTATGTTGGTTGTATTTTATCCCAGCTTTTATATAGTGTTAAAAAACTGAAACAGGAAGTGCTTCTGGACCAGTGTTGTTTACATCTTGCAAAATGGTCTATAAAACCCAGATAAACTAACGTCGACTGTAGACATTCGGGACGTTGATTGTAGACGAGACCCTGATAAACTAACGTTGACTGTAGATGTTCGGGGACATCAATTGTAGACAAGACCCAGATAAACTAACGTCGACTGTAGATGAGACCCAGATAAACTAACGTCGACTGTAGATGTTCGGGGACGTCGACTGTAGATGAGACCCAGATAAACTAACGTCGACTGTAGATGTTCGGGGACGTCGATTGTAGACGAGACCCTGATAAACTAACGTTGACTGTAGATGTTCGGGGACGTCGACTGTAGATGAGACCCAGATAAACTAACGTCGACTGTAGATGTTCGGGGACGTCGATTGTAGACGAGACCCTGATAAACTAACGTTGACTGTAGATGTTCGGGGACGTCGACTGTAGATGAGACCCTGATAAACTAACGTTGACTGTAGATGTTCGGGGACGTCGACTGTAGATGAGACCCAGATAAACTAACGTCGACTGTAGATGTTCGGGGACGTCGATTGTAGACGAGACCCTGATAAACTAACGTTGACTGTAGATGTTCGGGGACGTCGACTGTAGATGAGACCCAGATAAACTAACGTTGACTGTAGATGTTCGGGGACGTCGACTGTAGATGAGACCCTGATAAACTAACGTCGACTGTAGATGTTCGGGGACGTCGACTGTAGATGAGACCCAGATAAACTAACGTCGACTGTAGATGTTCGGGGACGTCGATTGTAGACGAGACCCTGATAAACTAACGTTGACTGTAGATGTTCGGGGACGTCGACTGTAGATGAGACCCAGATAAACTAACGTCGACTTTAGATGTTCGGGGACGTCGATTGTAGACGAGACCCTGATAAACTAACGTTGACTGTAGATGTTCGGGGACGTCGACTGTAGATGAGACCCTGATAAACTAACGTTGAATGTAGATGTTCGGGGACGTCGACTGTAGATGAGACCCAGATAAACTAACGTCGACTGTAGATGTTCGGGGACGTCGATTGTAGACGAGACCCTGATAAACTAACGTTGACTGTAGATGTTCGGGGACGTCGACTGTAGATGAGACCCAGATAAACTAACGTTGACTGTAGATGTTCGGGGACGTCGACTGTAGATGAGACCCTGATAAACTAACGTCGACTGTAGATGAGACCCTGATAAACTAACGTCGACTGTAGATGTTCGGGGACGTCGATTGTAGACGAGACCCTGATAAACTAACGTCGACTGTAGATGAGACCCTGATAAACTAACGTCGACTGTATATACGTTTGGGGACGTCGATTGTAGACGAGACCCTGATAAACTAACTTCGACTATACGTTCGGGGACGTCGATTGTAGACGCGACCCTGATAAACTAACGTCGACTGTATATACGTTTGGGGACGTCGATTGTAGACGAGACCCTGGTAAACTAACGTCGACTGTAGATGTTCGGGGACGCCGATTGTAGACGAGACCCTGATAAACTAACGTCGACTGTAGATGTTCGGGGACGTCGATTGTAGACGAGACCCAGATAAACTAACGTCAACTGTAGATGTTCGGGGACGTCGATTGTAGATGAGACCCTGATAAACTAACGTCGACTGTAGACTTTCGGGGACGTCGACTGTAGATGAGACCCTGATAAACTAACGTCGACTGTAGATGAGACCCTGATAAACTAACGTCGACTGTAGACATTCGGGACGTCGATTGTAGACGAGACCCTGATAAACTAATGTCGACTGTATATACGTTTGGGGACGTCGATTGTAGACGAGACCCTGGTAAACTAACATCGACTGTAGATGTTCGGGGACGCCGATTGTAGACGAGACCCTGATAAACTAACGTCGACTGTAGATGTTCGGGGACGTCGATTGTAGACGAGACCCAGATAAACTAACGTCAACTGTAGATGTTCGGGGACGTCGATTGTAGATGAGACCCTGATAAACTAACGTCGACTGTAGACTTTCGGGGACGTCGACTGTAGATGAGACCCTGATAAACTAACGTCGACTGTAGATGAGACCCTGATAAACTAACGTCGACTGTAGATGTTCGGGGACGTCGATTGTAGACGAGACCCTGATAAACTAACGTCGACTGTATATACGTTTGGGGACGTCGATTGTAGACGAGACCCTGATAAACTAACTTCGACTGTATATACGTTCGGGGACGTCGATTGTAGACGCGACCCTGATAAACTAACGTCGACTGTATATACGTTTGGGGACGTCGATTGTAGACGAGACCCTGGTAAACTAACGTCGACTGTAGATGTTCGGGGACGCCGATTGTAGACGCGACCCTGATAAACTAACGTCGACTGTAGATGTTCGGGGACGTCGATTGTAGACGCGACCCTGATAAACTAACGTCGACTGTATATACGTTTGGGGACGTCGATTGTAGACGAGATCCAGATAAACTAACGTCGACTGTATATACGTTTGGGGACGTCGATTGTAGACGAGACCCTGGTAAACTAACGTCGACTGTAGATGTTCGGGGACGCCGATTGTAGATGAGACCCTGATAAACTAACGTCGACTGTAGATGTTCGGGGACGTCGATTGTAGACGAGACCCTGATAAACTAACGTCGACTGTAGATGTTCGGGGACGCCGATTGTAGATGAGACCCTGATAAACTAACGTCGACTGTAGATGTTCGGGGACGCCGATTGTAGATGAGACCCTGATAAACTAACGTCGACTGTAGATGTTCGGGGACGTCGATTGTAGACGAGACCCTGATAAACTAACGTCGACTGTAGATGTTCGGGGACGTCGATTGTAGACGAGACCCTGATAAACTAACGTCGACTGTAGATGTTCGGGGACGCCGATTGTAGACGAGACCCTGATAAACTAACGTCGACTGTAGATGAGACCCTGATAAACTAACGTCGACTGTAGATGTTCGGGGACGTCGATTGTAGACGAGACCCTGATAAACTAACGTCGACTGTAGATGTTCGGGGACGTCGATTGTAGACGAGACCCTGATAAACTAACGTCGACTGTAGATGTTCGGGGACGTCGATTGTAGACGAGACCCTGATAAACTAACGTCGACTGTAGATGAGACCCTGATAAACTAACGTCGACTGTAGATGTTCGGGGACGTCGATTGTAGACGAGACCCAGATAAACTAACGTCGACTGTAGACTTTCGGGGATGATCGATTGTAGATGAGACCCTGATAAACTAATGTCGACTGTAGACATTCGGGACGTTGATTGTAGACGAGACCCTGATAAACTAACGTCGACTGTATATACGTTCGGGGACGTCGATTGTAGACGAGACCCAGATAAACTAACGTCGACTGTAGACTTTCGGGGATGATCGATTGTAGATGAGACCCTGATAAACTAATGTCGACTGTAGACATTCGGGACGTTGATTGTAGACGAGACCCTGATAAACTAACGTCGACTGTAGATGAGACCCTGATAAACTAACGTCAACTGTAGATGTTCGGGGACGTCGATTGTAGATGAGACCCTGATAAACTAACGTCGACTGTAGACTTTCGGGGATGATCGATTGTAGATGAGACCCTGATAAACTAATGTCGACTGTAGACATTCGGGACGTTGATTGTAGACGAGACCCTGATAAACTAACGTCGACTGTATATACGTTCGGGGACGTCGATTGTAGACGAGACCCTGATAAACTAACGTCGACTGTAGATGTTCGGGGACGTCGATTGTAGACGAGACCCTGATAAACTAACGTCGACTGTAGATGTTCAGGGACGTCGATTGTAGACGAGACCCAGATAAACTAACGTCAACTGTAGATGTTCGGGGACGTCGATTGTAGATGAGACCCTGATAAACTAACGTCGACTGTAGATGTTCGGGGACGTCGATTGTAGACGAGACCCTGATAAACTAACGTCGACTGTAGATGTTCGGGGACGTCGACTGTAGACGAGACCCTGATAAACTAACGTCGACTGTAGATGTTCGGGGACGTCGATTGTAGACGAGACCCTGATAAACTAACGTCGACTGTAGATGTTCGGGGACGTCGACTGTAGATGAGACCCAGATAAACTAACGTCGACTGTAGATGTTCGGGGACGTCGATTGTAGACGAGACCCTGATAAACTAACGTCGACTGTAGATGTTCGGGGACGTTGATTGTAGACGAGACCCTGATAAACTAACGTCGACTGTAGATGTTCGGGGACGTCGACTGTAGACGAGACCCTGATAAACTAACGTCGACTGTACATGTTCGGGGACGTCGATTGTAGACGAGACCCAGATAAAAGAACTAAGTACTCTCCATTGAAAATAGTTGGCAACACTGATCATGGAAAATCACCGTACCATCTGACCCACTGTCTCACTGGCGACTTCCAGCATAGCAGCATCTGTAATGGCTTTGGCTGTTTCTGCTCCTATGGTTTCAGTGCTAGACAGCAGCTCCTTTACCACCTGCAATCACAATTATAATTACTATCAAATCGCTTTACTGTGTTTGTAGCCATAAAAGTAGAAGTCAAATGATTCTTACACGTCTATATTCATCCAGAGTGATGATGCCATCATTGTCAGTGTCGTGCATGTTGAACAGAACTACAGAGAAGGAAACGTATACTTTTACCAAGTAGTTGTGTGGTGCGCATAAAATAAAAATGTAAATCAGCAAAACTGTATTAATACTGAGAGAAATTGTTTCAAATAGTATCTCAAATTATGTCAAAACGGGCATTTATAGTGATGCTTAAAAGTTGTTTAGATGTTTTCACACACCTGTAAGAGTTTCTTTCTTATTGGGAGTCAATGGCTTCCATTAACTGTTTGGTTACCAACATTCTTCAAAATATCTTCTTTTGTTTTAAACATAAGACAGAAACTCATAAAGGTTTGGAATAACATAAGGGTGAGTAAAATATAACAGAATTTTCATTTTTGGGTGAACTACCCCTTTAAAGTTCCATTAAACTTGTATAACAACTTGTTTCGATCAAAACTGCATTTGAAATAACATCTATTTGGTTCTGGTCTTTATTTCTTTATTCTCACAGCGTAGTTTCTCCTTCTTTATGGTTTTTCTCTCCTCCTCAGCAAGGTGTGGTTTGGGTGGTTTGAAAAAAGCCAGGACGGTAACGAATTCCTCAAAACCGATCTCTTGCAAACAGCTCTTCTCCTTTTGACCCAAGTTCCTTGATGACAACACACAGACATTATCCACTGAGTATATATAGAACTACAACTGTATAATCTTTTTATTTAATAAACTAAAAAATAAAGTTGGGATAAATATGCATGTCCAACTTTACCTGCATACATACTATATATATATATATATATATATATATATATATACAACAACTGATTCAGATCACTTAGTTGGACGTGACTGTGATTACACAAGGTAAAAAAACAGAAATAAATACTCTTAGTTTTCTCACACAAACCACTCTTTTCGTGTCTTAGGCCATCAATGTGTACTTACATTTACATTTACAATGTGTACTTATTCATTAAATCATGTTTAATTTGGAATTCTCTGTGCATGCTCTTTGAGGTGGTGACCATAGACCTGCATTATATGACTGACAGACAACAACAGTTTGACCTAAAAATGTCAAAATTGAAAATACTGCGGAAACAAAGACACCTACATCTTGGATGCCCTTGAGGTAAGCTAAAACATATCAAAAATTAATTTCAAAGTGAACTATCCCTTTAAGGTGACAAAAGTGGATACAGGCAATTGAGACAGATGTAATATTACTCTGAGAACTACACCCACTCGAGGGGAACATAATCGTGAAAGGGATAGCCTAGCTAACAGAAATGAAATATACTATTAAAACTGACATTTGGATATTTAACTTACCAGTGAGAAAATGTTTACTTCACACGTACTGTATTTTTAGTGCACACTGAGTGTCAGAGCCCACCATTTACCCATCCGTTCCAGCTGATGCTTCATGTCTTATTGCCTCTATCCACTTTGTGTCCTTAAACAAAAAGTTTTTGTTGGGGTCGACAGCTTATTCAAACTTAGTTCTGTTTTTTTTTATTTTTTTTTTTAGCTTGTTCGCTGTACACCTCGTCACATAGCAGCTTTTAGACATTGTTTTGTTTTTTGTTACAAGTCAAAAATGACAAGGAGGCAACTTCAGGCAATACAAACAAAGTCAATGGAGATGGTTGGCGACTCTCTAACTATCAAGCATTGATTATTAGCTGATTCTAATTCTGATATGGACCCCTTTCCTTTTCTGTACACACCTTGTATCAAAGAAGGCCTCAATGATCTGTCTTCGGATTGGGTTGAGGGCCAAATCGCTTATATTCTCAAGATGTTCACGTCTGAAATTGAGAAGAAATGGTTCTTTTTAGACTACATTTCATTATAAATGACACAATTACATAATACACACTGTGTCATATGATATTAAGCAGAAATTGCATCAAGATGAGAACATCTAATTGGTAAAAACAACAGATTTTGCTTGTTGTTAAACTGTAACTCAAAAAATCTGCGTCCATAATTTGCGGACCAATGGCTCTGCCCTAACACAGGCATTAATATAAAGGGTGTGATAGATGACCATTATTACAGTATTTGTTTACAGTCAGTATAGTCTAAATGAGTGGCATCAAGTCATTTGTACAGTACCTTAAAGTGCCTTCATCTTGAGTTAGGTATATAAATCTGTTATGGAGGTTTTTCATCTGCTCTATGGAAACTAAAGTGAGAAAAAGACAGCAAATTCAGGAAGATTTCAAATAACTTTGCAGGTCTATGGAGAAACAGAATAGGCTGCGTCCGAAATCGCATACTCTTGAGTAGGTGCTTATTTTGAATCACAACTATATATATGTTCTTTATATAATGAGTGTGTGTAGAATCAATGCAATCCAGATGTACTACAATCCCCATGTTGTCATTGTCATGTGACCCTACCAGTGTCAGTTGCGTTCACTTCCATTTAAAAATCCTCTCCTGTGGTCTCATGGGATAGTAAAGTGTCCACCCACCATATGCACACTTCAGAATCTCATGGGTACCTTTTTGCCTTTTATGATACTTTGAATTAGGACATATTTCTTTTGTCACAAAGTATGGAAAGTAGTGAAGTATGCGATTTCGGATGCAGCCGTTATGTGTGCAAGATGAATTGATAATGAATCGTATCATTAAATGCAGTTGTACCATAATAACCTCTAATGTGGTTCCAGCCTCTTATTACAACAGGAGGGAGGTGATGGACTCAATGTTCAACACTGTCTACATGCCACAGTACAAATTGTATTTATAGATATTTGGTCAACCAAAATGGAATGTGGAATCAATCCCTGATCTTATGACAGCGGACACCAAATCAAAACACTCACTATTATTATTGCTCATACAATATGCCTTTGAGATGTCTAGTATGTGCTAACTGTACACTAGGCTATATAATATAGGCAGGAACAATATTATTAATAATATTGTTCATTGTTTGTTCATGTAAGTTTACTTACTGTAAAGTGGGACCTAAAACAAAGACTATTGGTTTTACAAGAAAATCCTGCTTCAGTTTTTTTACTTCAAAATTTCACAATTTCTTTGTAAATTATTTGTGAAATTTACTAGCAATTTCTTTATGAAAGTTATTTTAAAGTGACATATATAGATTTTTTTAAAGTAATTATTGATTTTAATTTGCAAATGTTAGTAAATGATTTAATGAATTATTATGAACACCCTGCAGTTCCTTTTACAAAGCACCGAGGTTGACTATTATTTTAACTGTTAACTGAGACACTTCTCTGTAATGGTGGAACTGACATGAAGTAAATTATAGGCTTTAGTTAACATAAATGCTCACGAGAAACAAAACAAACGAAAAACGGAAGAATAGTAATAAATTGTGTAAAGGAAGCAATATCTATTTCACATTTATTCCATCACAATTGAGTTGATTACAGTGGTGGAGGAAGTACTAAATCTCAGTACTTAAGTAAAAGTACAAATACCCAGATAAATATTTACTTTAGTAAAAGTAGAAGTAACACAATGACAACCATACTTAAGTAAAAAGTAAAAAGTACTTTATTTTAAATGTACTTTAAGTATTAAAAGTAAAAGTACTTGCATAACAATTTATTATCTTAATGTCTATTTTCTAATGATTAATAAAACATTTAATTCGAACTCATTCAACCTAATACTCCTATAATGATGTTCAATAATGATGGAAAAAAATGTCACCATTTCTGAAACAAGCTTGCAATTAGGCAATATCATGCTTATCCTTACTATATGTTAATAACTATGTTTGGCAGTAAACGCGATTCATTTATGGTGTAATTCTGAACCTCTTGGCTTGCCATAATCCTAACCAAACGTATATTACACATGGGTGTTTCCTATGCACATAAAAACAAATTTTCGCGTATGAGTTGCATGATAAACACACTGCGTGTGAGACGCATTTAGTTGATGTATCTATGGCAACCAAACGTCACTGGTGAGACAAACGTGCAACGAACGGACGGTCAGATTACGTTTTGGCAGGGGAAAAACTGATCAGAAAATGTAACGAAAATGTAGCAGAAGTTGTAGAAATGTAGTGGAGTAGAAAGTATAATAATTGCTGCAAAATGTAACGAAGTAAAAGTAAAAAGTATGCACTATTTATTCTACTTAAGTAAAGTAAAGATACGTGAAAAATGTACTTAAGTAAAGTAACGAAGTATTTGTACTTCGTTACATTCCACCACTGGTTGATTATAAATCTATTTCGAGAGGCACTGTTTGTTTGGGGAAGATTTGCACTGTGGAATTAATGGTTCGTTTTTAGTGCACATTTGCAGTTGTACAGCAAATAACTGTTGAGAAAACACCTTTCCACAATAATGAGCTATTCAGTGAGTGGGATTTGATTCTCCAAAAGTCCTTTTACTTCTGCATTTAAGTGAAATTCAGTCTAGTAGATTTAGTCTGTTGTTGTGTTGACAGCTCATTACTTTATTGCACTGCATTACTGTATAGTATGCACTAAGTATTTTAATATGCATATATTTGTTATATAGTCATCAAATATAAGAATAAAGTCCAGCAATATCACTAATAAAATCGCGAAGCAAAGAGGACACTGACACCGACAGACAAGACAGATCAGGGTACTTATGATATATACATAGATAATATCGATCAGCCAGTGTTTTTCAACCACGGAAATTTGGTCAAAACAGCTGGAGAATTGTGTCATGACCCAGTCTATGCATTTACCTCAAAGTAATTTAATGACAATAATCACGTTAGTTGGCTAGAAAATAGTTAAAGAGTTATAGAAATGTGTAGGCTATTAGGCATATTACATGCTTATTATATTTTTACTTGTATATCATTAAATAAAGTTGTTGTTATAATAAAAACGCATTTAATTTGAGTTAACCTATTTTTAACCTTAAACAATAACTTACTACCAGCTGAAAGGGCTCTATGTTTACAGCATTAGGTGAGTGACACATTTATTTTTTTGGATGAACGCCTATCTTTTTATGTATCAAAATGAATCAATATTGAGTCAAATTAGAAGAATTCAATTGAAATCGTGAAGTTTGTATCAATCAATAATAAAAAAAAAATCGTAGCTTACCAGAAATTGTGCCATGACCCCCCACACCCACCCACTCCCATTCCATTCTCACTCCAAGCCAAACTCAAAAGTCGGCAGCCCTTCAGGTACCGTACTGTACTTTTTTTGTACTAAGCACACCTGGAAAATAGATACTCACAGCCAGTTTTATCAGCCAGATCTTGGAACTCAGGCACTCGTCCTGACTGAGAAGCTCCCATGTTAACGTCCGGAAGAGACAATCACAACTTTCGCAATGTACGCTCATACTTTGACAGCAAAGCTCCGCCCCTCTCATGAAATATGCAAATAAGCAGCAGTGACACACAAATACACACACACAAGCATGGCTCGTCCGGTGTTTTCTGGGTTTGCGATCCGAACATTATTTTGAGACATCTCATTTGATAATCTCCATAAAAGACATCCTGGCGTTTCATATATAAAATATTAATTCATAAATAAAACGAATTAAATTCATTGAGTTCAGTTTATAGAATTAAATTGAAGATATTGTTTTTATGACAATTTGGAACAGGAAGATGTTCTTGGTTGCCATTAAAACATTAATGTGTTTGTGATATTTCCCCAATCCATCTTTTGCAGCCGGAGAAAGTAGTGTGTGGCAGATGCTGGTATATTTGCATTATAAATATTTGAGGTTGTGTGACTTTGGATGAGAATAAGTTAATGCAAACACACTCTGTGTCACACACCGCCCTGAGTCTGACATGTTTGTCTTTTTTTGACTTTCAATTTTAGGTGTTCTATGCTTGATAAAACAGTGCATTGCTGTCGATATATTGCTATATACAGTGGGAAACAATAGTCTGAGACTACTAGTGAAAATATACAATGATCAGCATAACATTTGTATCTCAAATAAAAAAAAAACAACTACATTTGACTAAATTAATAAAAACTAAACTAATTTATTCTAAAGAGCATCTTATGTAGAAATCCTATACAAAAGAGTCACAATGTCTCAATGTGCATACATTTGTTTGGTGACCTCAAAAACGTTTTGCTTGAGAGAAACTTGAAAATGGAATCTCAATTATTTACCCAAAGCCACCACAAGATTTTACATTTTTAATTATATATATATAAACCAAATTAATATTTTATTATCTGAATAATAAAATATTGAATGCGAATCTTGAAATCTCCCTAAACTTACAAAGCTATAGTTAAGTCATACAAATAAAACATTTAAACAAATTTAAAACAAATAAAAAACTGAACCACTAGAAATGGAGATTCTTTTTTTTATTTTTTATTGTGATTCATTCTTATATTCTCAATACTTTTGTATGGGCCAAGAATTCGTTGAGCCCTTGTTCTCTAGGTCTTGTTTTTAAATAACTTTGAAGTAAACATTACAAAATATTTCAAGGTGACAGTGTTAGACATTTTACTTCATGTCAAGTGCATGTTTGTTAACATATTATATGAAATTAGTGCATTAGTTTAGAGGGATGTGTTGAATGACGACATAATAGACAGGCCCGAAGCTGATCAACACATTTACTGTACAGATGTTCAGACCCTCCTGTAGAGTAACTTCATATAATCTTTATATATATTATCCAGAGTATGTTTCGTATCCACAAATACTGTAACTCGACCACATCATCTGTACTCAACGTCTCAAATTATACAACATATGTAGTTTCTTTCAGACTACATTTTCAGCTCTGGGTCAAAGTTGCCTGTAAAACCGATCTAGGACCAGGATGTTGTACAAAGGAAATGAATTAAACAAAAACTACTGGGTTTGGCCTTAACAAGAACTCCAAACATCAAATTCGGTCCATTGTCAGTTGTATCGAGCAACTTCCTGTAATAGTACAGGACAAAATTGAGTGACTTTTCGCATGTAAAGTGGGGAGGGAGGGAAAGAGGTGGCATTCTGGTCTACGGATCTAATAAATCATGGTCCTGGAAGTTGGCGGTTGGCTCGGATGGTTGGCCTGAGTTTGGGTTGAGGCCGTGGTAAAGCTCCTCTACAGTCCTGTGGGTCTTGCACATGTCCTCTGGGTAACGCGCCTGGAGCTCTTCATTAGCGATGTAGTGTGTGTCAGAAAACTCCGAGAAGTAGCGGCCGACCTCGGGGTGAGCGATCTCCAGCGGGGCAGAGTGAGGCTCCAGATTCTCTGCAAATGAAAAGAGAAAGTGAGGCTTTCTTAGATTTGATTTAGATTTTTTGGGCTCTGCTAGGTTAGGTTTTCACGCTTGAATGTTCAAAGACAATTCACATATTTTACAATGGCAGGTCCAGTCTGTCAATAACGCTCTGTACAGCTGAGGTGAGGCTCGCGGAAAGTCTCACCTTGCGCAGCGTATCTGCAGGTCCCGTCCTGCACCAGGACGTTGTAAAATGGCTGATCAGCCCCCTTAGACAGTTGATGGACCCTCATGGTGTTAATCCACTCCTGACTCATGGTGCATTTAGGGTCCCATCCATAGATAACACAGTTGTAGCCTGACCTGTGAGGACATGGGACAGTTTGAGAACGTTCAAACCAAATAATCCTATTGTAAATTAGCCTCTTTTCACATTGTGTTATTTGGCATCATACAAACACACCAGTATCACCTTGAGCACTGACGGCAGCTGCTCTTTTTAGCTAAACTTGTGTGTTTCTGTTTCATTTGCATTGGAAGAGACTCACTTTTTACTGGAAAAGTAAGTTTTCCATTCATATTAAAAGAGTCTAATTATTTGTGGCAGGATTGACTTTTGCTTTTAAATGTAAAATATAAATGTAACATTTAAATAAATGATAATAATACAAATTAAATCTGAAAAGTAGTTTTTTTTTGTATTTAAAAGACGTCTCGTGCTCACCAAGGCAGTATTTTTTTTTTGATTAAAAATGCATTAAAAACAGTAATATTGCGAATTATTATTATTATAGCAAAGTAAAACTGTTTTCGCTTTTAAAATATTTAAAAATGTAATTTATATACAGGAAATCATTACTCCAGTCTTCAGTGTCACATGATCCTTCAGAACTCATTCTAATTTGCTGTACAAAATAATTTCGTTTTTATTATCAATGTTGAAAACATTTATTTATTTTTTTTTGCTGCCTAATATTTTTGTAGAAACTGTGATACATTATCATTTAAAATGGGTTAAGTAAGATAGAAAAAAAAAGAAATGAATACTTTTATTTTATAAAGGGCACATTAAACATATCAAAAATTCTATCTCATTAAAGTGTAATGTAGGAGAGTAATGTAACATAAAAGTGCATGTGATGATGTTAAAGTCTTATGTTTATTTCTGATATAATTTTTGGTAGGTATTTGATCGTCTGTAAGTGACATATTGTGGTAGTTTTATTAGGAGTAGTAATTTGTTTGTTGTTTTATTTGTTTTTTATTAGAAACGCCTTTCTAGGGACCTGAGATGCAAATTAGCTCTTGCATATTTCCCAGCTTTGACTGGGATCATGTTTTTTTTTTTTTGTACTGTCCCTATATAAATAAACTGAAATGAAATAAAATGAAAAGTGACAGTAAAGATATTTAAGATATTAATAGATTAGAAAACTTAAAGCCCTGTTTTAAGATCGAGACTTTTCGGTTTCTGTGGTTGCACCACAATTGAGCACCAATATCAATTGATGATAATAACTGAGCCCCAAATCAGCATATTAGAGTGATTATTGCAGGATCATGTGACACTAAGTAATTCAGATTTGCATCACAGGAATAAATTCCATTTTAAAATATATTCAAATAGAAATCAGTTAAATTCTAATAATATTTCACAATGTTACTGTTTTAGCAAATATTTTAAATCAAATAAATGCAGCATCAGTAAAAATAAGCAACTTCATTCAAAGAAATTCTTATTTATTTCAAACTTCCGACTGGTAGTGCACAGGGAATATTTCACCCAGAACAGAGAAAAGAGGCAAAAGGACTTTTTGCAATGTACTTTGCAGTATTATAGTATAGCCAAGTTGGTTAGTTAGTTAGTTTTCAAGATCGTTTATGTTGCTGCTCTAAAATTTCAGAGTTTCAGGCTCCATGTAGTTGATAAGTTTGCAGCTCACACAGACAGGAACCCACCTCTTATGTTTCATGACGAGGCCTACAGAGTACTGTACGTCCCTGTGCTCCGGCGCGCTGCGTCTCTTCACCTCCGGCTCTTCTGGATGTCTCTTATGCTGGATGTGCTCGAGCGTATGCTGCACCAGATACCCGACCGCCCCGTGCTGCGATGGGTCCAGAGCCTGAATGTGCTGCAGAATATCCAACACCTGAGACAGAGACGATCACATCAAACAAACCTTAATCATAGTCATACTTCGCAATATTCATCATCGCAAATTCCCAATGCAAGTGCAAAATATGCATTCCCTTTTAAGTTATGTGTCAGGTGTGAAAAACATCTATTAGAAATGTAAAAGTGATGCTTAATATTCCCATGCTCAATATCCACTGTCCTTTTTTATTTGGTGCAAATAGCCAATCTTTTTGGTAATATACCCTTAGTAAAATAGCATATTACTTTTGTTTACACACTTTGTGAATAACATGTCACTATTTGCACTTAGTGTAACCAGGGGTGCTATTTAGTGCTATTTATACTTGGTGCAAACAGTTTCCACCTTCAAAATAGCAATTACCCTCTTTAAAGGGATAGTCCACCCAATTACTCACCCTCATGTAATTCCAAAACCATATACTTTCCTTCATCTTTAAAACACAAATGAAGATATGTTTTATGAAATCTCAAGAGATTTCTCTCTCTATTGAAAGTCCATTCACACTTGACCCTTGAACTGTCAGAGTTTTGGGTGAATACAGAGATTTTGGAAGTGTTTTCCTTCACTGTAAAGATCTAAACATATTTAGATAAACAGGAAATTGCAATGGGAGACGATTTCGATATATCAACAGACAACGTTGTTGTCACTTTCACCGCAGACCGAAGCGCCCGGGCTCTCAGATCACTTGGACGTGGCTGTGGTTACAAGAGGTAAAAACGATATAAATACTGTTCGTTTTCTCACACAAACCGCTCGTTTCGTGTCTTAGGCCATCAATGTGTACTTACATTTACGAGTCATTAAATCATGTTTAATTTGGACTTCTCTCTGCATGCTCTTTGAGGTGGTGACCATAGACCTGCATTATATGACTGACAGACAAGAACGGTTTGGCCTAAAAATATCAAAATTGAAATCCCTGTGGAAACAAAGACACCTACATCTTGGATGCCCTTGAGGTAAGCTAAAACATACCAAAAATTAAATTCAAAGTGAACTATCCCTTTAAAAATGTGAGAAAATGCACAAAGATACTTCATAAATCTAGACTGTTGTGTTCCAAATTTGGTTAATATTTAAAAAAATTAGCTTTCAGTAAATTTTGCTTGGGAACAGTACCAAAAGTTCCCACTAATTAAAATTAGTTTCCCATTTCCAAAGTGATCGTTTTTGCCCACAAGGAGCACACGTGTGACTATTTCTTTTCAGGACCATTTAACCTTTTCAAATCATGTCCAATCATTGTTGCGTGCCGAATAGCAAGTGCCGAAACCTTTACTAAGTTTCATAACATTACCATGAAGTAAAAAACAACAACATTTTTCGGTCAAGAATGACCAAAGAGCATCAATGTCTTCATTTGTGTTTTTTTAAGACGAGCGGAAGTCGAATGGGTCTGGAACGACATGAGGGTGAGTAATTGATTCATTTTTGGGTCACCTAGCCCTTTAAAGGCCTTTTTCCTTTTTGAACTAGCCCTTTAAAGGCCTTTTTCATGGTGGAGAGTTAAGTATTGGAAGAGAAAGAAGGAATGGGATTAGAAAATGATGGAAAAATTCAAACCAGTATCCTTATGCATATGCGCCGGAGAGATTTAGTCTTTTACTGTTCTATATTAAGCAAAGGTTTTCTACTGTGAATTGTGTGGATTGTTACTGTCATTCAAGTCTGATCTGTGAGACTGAACTCACTTTCTCAGGCCAGATGCCCAGATGGAAGTAGAGGCGGGCTTGCAGCAGAAGATACTGCACGTTATCAGGGTTAATGGTGAGATAGAGATCCAGAGAGTCCCGCAGGAGCTGATATGATTTCTCATTCCCTTCCCTAGACAAAAAGCAAAAGCAAGCACATTTTGTAACAAACATAGGTCTGACTAATTCAGTTAAGCTAAGTTTAGCTGACAGCCAAGAAAACTAATTTCATTTGCATAAAACAGTCTAAACTGCAGAATCCCCTGACTGGTTTACTAATGAGTACACATGCAGCATGAAATAGGTTTTATATATATTTTATATAGTTTATGAAGCATAAAAGCACAAGTACAGTAATGAAAGCATGAGGGCACGTTTAGACAACAACGAAGTACTAAAAACGTGTTTTTCCTGTACGGACAAAAAAAAAAAATTGTCAAAACGATCTCTATTCACACCAATCTGAAAAAACGACTAAAAACGCTGTATTCTGCTGCCAGGCCAGTAGTTGGCGATATCATTTTGTAAAGAAACGCTACGTGCCTATAGATAGACTGAACACTTAAAGGAGTAGTTCACTTTAAAAAAAAACTTTTTGCTGGTAATTTACTCACCCCCATGCCATCCAAAATGATAGAAATTAAAAGAATTTCTTAAAGAACCTTAAAGAAATTAAGGTTTTTGATGAAAACATTCCAGGATTTTTCTCCATATAATGGACTTCAATGGGAACCAAACGGTTCAAGGTCCAAATGAGAGTTTCAGTGCAGCTTCAAAGGGCTTTAAACGACACCAGACGATGAATAAGGGTCTTATCAAGGACCCTTCGAGTCATGACTCGAATTTTTTTTTTTGATGAATGAGTTCGAACAGGAGAGTCACGAATGCTCATCACAGAACAGAGCAAGGCGAGCATTTGTGCTTATAAAACTTAAACTTTTTTTTTTTTTTTTTTAAATGACTGATCGTTTCGCTAGAGAAGACCCTTATGTCGTTTAAAGTCCTTTGAAGCTGCACTGAATCTTTCATTTGGACCTTGAACCGTTTGGTTCCCATTGAAGTCCATTATATGGAGAAAATCCCAGAAAGTTTTCATCAAAACCTTAATTTCTTTTCGACTGAAGAAAGAAAGACATGGACATCTTGGATGACATGGGGGTGAGTAAATTATCAGCAAATTTCTTTTTAAAGTGAATTTACCGTTATCCTCTTTTTTTTGTAGTTTACCGAGACAATAACAGTATCGTTTTCAAAAAATGTTAAACCCGCTTTCAAAAGTTTGCATCTTCAAGTCCCCAAAACAATGTTGTCAGGTAAATAAATGACCAAAACGCATACGTTTTCCGTTTTTAGTTGAAAACGGTGTGGTGTAAACGGCCCCTGAGTCTCACCCTCTCTTGCCAATGTTAAGCAGGTTTCCCACCATCCTCAGCAGCAGCTCGCTGGTGCTTATAGCGCTGTAGTAATCTGCTGTCACCTGGTGTCGGATCAGATACTCACACTCTTTAGCAGCCAGCTGCTTTCCATTTCCAAACGCGTCAATGTACACATAGTCGTAGATGTCGCCACTCCTGCAAAACACGTCACGTTGTCGTTTAACTTTTAATGCAAGCACAACTGAATTGTTTTAAGCATATTTGGATTTCATTCCTTCATATTTGGATATTTCTGATTTCATTTTGACAGATTGCAATAGCTGTGAGTTGAAAACACGCACCTGCTTTGATTTTGGCACCAGCGGAGCAGGAAATGGTTGGGGAAGTTGACAGGCTCCAGAGGAACTCCTAAATTCCTGGCCAGAGTCATGTAGAGCACAGAGAGGCTGATGGGAATGCCTGTACGACGGACCAGCACCTGACCACAAAGGGCTCAACACTGTGAGAAATAAACTACACTTCTGTCTACACTTTGTAAGGGAAATTTGAAACTAAATATTAATCTAACCATGGTTTATCATACAACACAATGCTTTAATGCTTTAACTTTCACATACAATACAATGCTTTAATGTAAATATGATGCGTTTACGACGTTCAGCACAATTAGATGGAAGGTAACATACCTTTATGTTACTTTTATTATTATGTAATGCACATTGTATATGTGCATAAGTGTTTTGGAAATGAGTATGATATCCATGTGACTCCAGTACCTGATGTATGTATGAGTTGAGCGGATTGTAGTAGTCCCGGTCATTGCCCTTGTACTGTAGCTGGTCATATAGAACAGCGTTCAGAGCGCATATGACTTGCCTTTGAAACTCCAAGTCTTCCAGAACGAAGCATTCACCTGGAAAAAACAGATATAGGACGCTACAGCTTTAAGAACAACAATGCTGTCGTGGTTTCCCAGAGCAGTCCAAAGTAAATTAAAAATTTTAAAAATTAAGCTAAGAGACGAACAAGACATTTATGTCATCGCCATCGACCTGAGAGCTTTTATCGGACGACAGGGAGAACATAAGCCTGGCTAGACGGGTCTGACTAATAGACCTCATGAGAACGGTAAATTGAATTTTCCGGATCCCTCTTTGTGGACTAACCTTGACTGGCTCGTAGAATTGGGTGTGTGGCGTTTTTTACTCGCAGATGCTTCTTCACCTTGTCTGTGATTTCTTCTATCTGTGCAGAAATGCTCTCAAGGGTAAAATCAGTCAAAGGGTTGCAATACTGGTCGACCAAAACAGCACCTGGAATTAAACAAACGGACATCAACCTTAATCATCCATAGTAATGAAGCGAGTAAACTTTGGTGAGATAGGGTCATCCTAAATTACATTGTGAATAATATGCCGTGCATGACTTTGGTAAGCCTGTATACGAGTCTACTGTGTGGCCGCACATTTAATTTTACTCGAGCTATGATTATTATATATGATAACTACTAGATATTAGTCGATTAACCTGGCCTTTATGTGGCCTCGTCCCTGGTATTATTAAGCATAGTAGCATTTTTAGATATTACCTTTCATGCAGTGTGTAATATACCTGTTTGTGAATGTAAAAGGTCTGCAAAGTTTCATAAATAGGGATGGGCAACGATTAATCGCGATTAATCGCATCCAAAATAAAAGTTTGTGTTTACATAATATATGTGTGTGTAGTGTGTATAATTAATTTGTATATATAAATACCCACACATGTATGTGTATATTTAAGAAAAATGTGCTATTAATATATCAAATATTTATATTTTATATCATATTAATTATGTATAAATATATATAAAGTATATACATGCAAATATTTCTTAAATATATACATGCATGTGTGTATATTTAGATATACAAATTAATTATACACACCACACACACATATATTATGTAATTGTAAACATAAACTTTCATTCCCATCCCTAGGTATAGTAAAAGGAATTATCGTCCCCGGAGCTGAACTTCAGATATGCTAATGGCCGTTTGGTTTCTGACACGTACTCATGTAGGCCGTGGCATTTAAACGATGCCCAATTGGCACTAAGGGACCTAAAGTGTGCCAAGAAAACATCCCCCACACCATTACACCACCACCACCACCACCAGCCTGCACAGTGGTAACAAGGCATGATGGATCCACGCCAAATTCTGACTCTACCATCTGAATGTCTCAACAGAAATCGAGACGCACGTAGACCAATAACAACAGACAAGGCCAGTTGACCAATCAGAGCAGAGTAGCTCACAGAAAGGAGGGGCTTAGAGAGACTGATTCCTTTACCGAATCATTACAGACACTGTGAGAAAAGAGGTGATGTTGCAATTTATTTTATGTGAAAATGACAGTATTTTTTGACCTTGGATGCATGTAAATTTATTGTAGGAGACCTCCAAACAAAATTAAGAACCTTTAAAATAGCCAAATAGTGGCACTTTGTTTTCCATTAATTAACTAACATTGCTCTTTATTAGTCTTTTTGTGAGCTTACCTTCCAGGGCTGATTGCTGTTCTGGTAGTCGCTCGAAGAAAACCTTCAAATTCCTCAAAATGTTCTGCTGCCGGAGGAAGTACAGGATTTTCTTTGCATAGTACTTAAGGGTCAAACTTTTCCTGAAGCCATCATAGGAAAGGAGGACATTCATAAATTCAGTTAAACCATTTAGTGCTCAGAAAAAATATACATACAAGCGTGAGCTCATCTCTAACCTTTTCTCGGAGTTCAAAATCCCAAGCAGCTCATCCTCACAGAAGTGTTCCGGGGCACCAAGAGACTCGATTTCTGCAAAGCTGTCTCCAAGAACCTGACCAACGCAAGGCTGAGTTACAGAAATAATAGATTAAATCCAACTTACCTTACAAATATACCTGTACAAAGCAGTGCGTAATTGTCATGCCATAAATATTATATTTCCGGCACATTGTGACAGCTTGTCTCTTCTAGAGTCACTTACAACTTCTGTGAAGAACCTCTTGGAAATAGACTCTACTGTTCTTCTGATCTGTTGACCAACCATGTCCCGGCTCTTAAATTCCTTTAGCCAATCGTATGACTCATTATGCCGATAAAATCTCTGCAGCCTGGGCCACCTAAAACATGAATGATACATTAGTGATGTTTGACCCCATAAATACTATATATAAATCTAAAGTATATTATTTGTGTGTGCTTATATATCACCTAAATTACGAGGGTGCAATTTAATTTCATGCAAAATGTAACAAAAAAGGTCTAAACTGTAATTTGCATGTATCTGCCAAAACATACAGTATACACTAAAACACAATAGTTATTAGTTATTGTTACTATAACACCTATACATTTAATAAACTTAAAACTATAGGTCTATTTTTTCATGTAGGCCTTTATGTTAATTTATTATTAGCAGAATTTCATGCATTTTTGTGTTTAAGGTAGCTTAAACGTTAAAACAATTATAATTGCATTTCGTTCTTTCAACGTATAGGAGGTGAGTCCGTAATAGTTAAATATTACGTGTTATGCATCTCTCTGCATGTGCACACTGGACCGAATTTGGTGCATCAGCAAAATGAGAACACGACCTGACAGCTCTCAAGTCACGCATTCAATGCACATCTATCACCTATCAGGGATCAAACACAATTCTTATGGTTTGAAAAAATCTCGAGGTTGATGGAGGTATAAAGCTTTAGAAATGTGTTTAATTTATGCCACCTGAGTTTGTACTGATGCGCCCAGACCTTTCCTCTGCCATGGCACACGTCATGCAGCCTCTTGCACGTGCAGGAAACGTTGCTAATGTCGATATGGTTTAGAACGGGAAAGCACAATATTTGCTCTAATAATTCGGCTGGTAAATCGGTTAACTGCTTAGCGAAACTCTCGGAAATATCCGTATTTGTCCCTAAAACTCGATCTCCCGTGTATGGCGTCGCCATCTTTTCTGTTTACTCCGATGACCTCATCGAAGCCCCGCCCAGTTGTTAACGAAAGCACGCCTCTTTCTGGTGCAAAGGGCTGAACTTTGAGAATCTAACACGTTCATTAACATTTATTATAAATATTAATTTATATTATAGTGTACATAATTTAGAATTGTATATATTGTAAAAATAATATACAATTCATGCATACATTAGTAAAGGACATCAGATTTAAAGTAGTTAACCAATCTGTTTCATTTTATTTTAGTTTTATTTTATTTATTTTCCGTTCATTTGAATTTAACATTTGAAATAAAAAAATGAACATTGAAAGTGTAGATACTTTTTATATATTACATTCAGAATTTGATTTAAATAATTAATACTAATGACATTTTTATAAATAACAATTCAAACGTAAATGTATAAATTAGTAAACAATTTGAAGGTGATTAATAATCGATTGATTAATAATGGAAAGTGATGTGCAATATTCTTAGCAATTACAGCATGTCCAAAATAATATCTTAGTTTTACTTTTTGGAAATAAATGACTGGAATTGCTTTATTTATTTATTTTATTATTTGGGGTATTGTGCGAAGTATTATCTCTCGACAAAAAAAGAGGCTTTTAACTAGCTCAATGACGCGCACTTTTTTTGTTGCTCATGTCCCTCCTCCTCGAGTCCTCGTGCACGCGCGACTGCAAGTTTCAGCTGCAGTTTTGGCCCGACAGACTCAACCCAACTGTGGTGTTTGTGTGTCAGGTGTTAAAACATACTTGAATTACACACACACCGCAGGAATTCAGCTGTGTTTCCGGCTCGACAGGTGAGTTATCAACCGGTTAACGAGCTGTCAGTCCAATTCCGTCAAAAACACTCATAACAAAACAAAACAATGAGGCATGAAACCGTAGATTAGCATTAAACAAGCGTTTATCAGTACGTAAAATGTTGTGAAGTATTGTAAATGTTAGTATTTTGCTACACGAATGTTTAGTTAAGTGTTATATAATAGGTTAATGTTTGTTCTCAGTTATCTGTCATCTTATATTACGCTTATAGTAGTTTAAAGTTAGCTTCTTTGTCTGTTGTTATTGCACATAGCGAATACGTTATTCATCAGTAAACTTATGCTATTCTCTTTTCCTTTTATCATCTTACAGGCTTAATGGCGCTTTAGAGGAAGTAAAAGGGATAGTAGTATGTGCCCAGCTGCTAGTTACCAGCTAATGCAGGTGGTTTGTTTACATCTTGCCTTTAATCACACGTATTGTTACATTTGCCAGTAATGCTAAGTTGAAGCTTTTATCAAGAGGTCAACTCTTAATTTGTTTCATCATAAGCTATGCTTCAGATGTAGTTAGTCAACAGGTTTATGTTGTTTTTAAAGAGGTGGAAAGTTAAGCAGCTATCATGGCAAGTATCCTTGCATCAAAAATGGGACTCAATTCCCTCTGGAGGAAACAAGCCAAAAACTTCAACGTCACAATTGTTACAATGGATGCTGACTTGGAGTTTAGCGTTGAGGTAAGTGGCTTCGAGCATTTTGCATGAATGTGCTGTTTTAATGTGGTGGTGTTGGTGAAGCTCCCTGAATTATGACAGAATTATGCTATATTATGGTTGTAAACCTATTGTATCGTATAACCATATCCATGCTGTCAGTGATCAATGCTTCTCATCAGCAACCAGAGGGCATGTAAGCATAGCTTAGGGAAGGCACCAGGCTGTTGACATTTTAACGTCCCGGCTCACTGTTGTGCCCTTGAGCAAGTCACTCAACCTGACCTGTTTCTCCAGCGTAGCTACATCAAGACATTCCTGTTGTTTGCAGCTTTCTGTTTGAATGGAGAAACAGTGGCCTTAAGGAATAGCTCTTCCCAAAACGGAAATTCTGTCATTTACTCCCTCATGTCATTCCAAAATTTTTTAGAAGAGAATGTACAAGTTAGAGCTTGCATACAGCAAACGTGTCGTGGGATGATGATTTATATCACCAAGCCATTGAAAAAGCACCATAAAGTAAATCACCTTTTGAAAATAACTTGAGGCTTCAAGTAAACATTTACATTTACGCATTTGGCAGATGCTTTTATCATTGCATTTCAAGGTACACATTTACATTCTTATCAGTTCTTGCTTTCCCTGGGAATCGAACCCATGACTTTGGTGTTGCAAGCGACAACGCTCCACTGTTTGAGCTACAGGAAAGCAAAGACAAATGTTGATTCATCCTAGGCTGGGTTCAACTCCACTTTTAAACATACACTCACTCGTGAACTCGTTAAAAGTCAGGTTTTATGTCATTGATGTGAAACGCAATTAGTTGTTATCAAAACTGCAAATGAACAATTTTGCTGTAAATGAGATATGAGTACTTTGAGGTGAAGATCATCCATGCACAACAACTTACATTTGTTTGTTTTTGTTCACACAAAGCTATCAGAAGGCTAGAAAATAGTGCACACGTTAATATAGGCCATTTTTACTGTGCTTTTTGGAGCTTGGCTGCATAAAACACCATTCACTTTGCTTGTGTGGAAAACAGGAGCTTGAACATTCTGCCTAACATCTCCTTTTGTGTTAAGAAAAATTATATTTATTTAAAAATAATCTCAAAAACTAGCAGCATGAAGCAAGCAGCATCATGTATCGCAGTAATGCTCATTCAAGGTGTTTTCTACATCCGGTGGGAGTTCTGCAGGCATATAGAGGGTTTCTCTGTGGCGCTGCACTTCATTTTCACGTAGTTTCTTGCATGAAGATGCCCTATTTTTACACGCAACATCATAAGAGAGTGTTTTTGAATTAAGGGAAAACAGATGGTGGTAAGAGAACTGCGTGACAGACGGGTACCATGAGTGAATGTCCCGTGAGGCACGACGGTCCCACTCTACAAGGCCCTGTGTTTGCCTGTCTCACTATTTTTTGATCTTTCACACTCATTAACAGTATTTCCCTTGGTGGCACTGAGGTTCTGAGGGATCATGGTGCTGTTGTCGTAAGCCGATAAGGAGGTATATATGTAGCCTACTGCCAAGTGGTTTTAGACACAAAACTAAATATATTGGCTAGTTAGAATTAAGTTCTGGCTGATATACATTTTTTGTCATATTTATAGATAAATATTACATGTTCAAGCTCATACTATCGATTACCACAACCAGTAACAGTATCTTATCTTAATTATTTTGAACAAAAAAAAAAAGGATTTTAGTAAAATTGTCTAAATACTTTTAGCTGTATAGCAATACTGTTTTATGCAGATTAACATTGAAATTTGTCACAGATGTCATTCACGTGAGTGAAATTTGCTCTGCGTAAACAATTTTATAGTGTCGTTTGGTGGTTTTGTGACAGCTTTTACTACATCATGATGTTAAATATTAGATCAAAAACTGTTTAGCTCCATAGACTTCCATTATAATAATTACTGAAGATGTGTTTTTATAAACTAAGGGGTGAATTTTAATTGTTTTCTGTGGTAAACCTCATCATTTAGAGCAAATTCAGTGCTATTTAACCCAGAATATTTATTAAGATTCTAGTTTGGTGCATCTTTGTATTTCATAAACAACGCCACTTGGTGGCAGCATGGATTTAGAAAACAAAATCCATTTCTCTTTTAGTCTTCCTTTCTCTCCTCAGAGATTGAGATTTTATTGCTTATCATTCATAGCTGATAATAGCTCAGCACTGAAGTCATCTACAGGGTTTGCTAAACCACAATTTATGATTTTTTAGGACCTTTGTGTATATTAATGGATGTTATTTCACAATGACAGATAAAGGTCCCCAAACAGTTAGAAATAACATAGCCAAAATCCTGAAACAAAACAAAAAAAAGTCAGTTTTACTTTATTTTTTTAGCTAATTTTTTTTTCTTAGCATGCTATTAAAGTGTAAATGAAGTTTACAGATTGTCACCTGAAATAATTTTCATGCAACTTATTAGAAGTACAGAATGCCTACATATTTTCTATTCGAAATACTAAACACTTCATCCTTATTTTTATTTGTGCTCTAGGCTAATGTTTATTTTAATCCATCTGGACTGATATTTACATGTGCTGATGTCATCTAATCTTGTGTCGTATAACAAGATGGTCAGTTATGAGTGTAGTTCAGTCAATAAAATCTGATTTGAGGTAATAGCATGGGGCTCAATATTGGATAAAGACAGAATTCGACTTTGCGGTTACTGCTTTTGTTTCTTGTGCTGTTACGCTGTCAAGTTTTCAGTACTTTTTTCACTCTTAAAAGCCACATAGCTTCTCTGCTGAATATTTAGGACATTTCTCATTTCTCTGTGTATGTTTGCACCAGCTGACGGTCATCCTTGAAGGCAGCCCGTCAGCTTCCTAGAGGAGAAGCATCAGCATATTTAATTGCTTGGACTCTTGGGGGCAGCATATTGTCATATGTTCTCATACATAAACATTAGGCAAGATGAAACCGCATCTTGAAAAGCACCTGTCCCTGTTATGCTAATGCAGTTTCCAGTGTTGATGATGTTTGCAAGACTGTGGAAGTTGTCTACTTATAACAGCAAGTTTCTGTCCTCTAACTTTTATCAGTCAAGGTGGCAAGTGTATTGTTCACAAAGCACTAACATCGAGCACAAGAGAATTATTTTCACAAGATGAGTTCTTGAATTTTTATTCTGCTAATATACTCCTGCAGATTGCATTCTGATTTCCAAATTTATTAAATGGACCGCTATTTCCAATGTCAATTTCTTTTCTCTGTCCAATCCATCTAACCAATAACATGAATGATAAACATGCAGCCTTGTGCAGGTACTTTTGGTAGTAATAATGAATGTTTTGATGTTCCTTCATTGATTCCATGCAAGTACACTGTGTGCAACAATTCGTCATTTTAATGAAAAATAAACAACTGATATGCATCTTTAGTTCTTCACCTATTGAATATGGTCTTTTTTCTGCCCCCCTGACAGTAGTCCTGATAAAAGATTAACTGATATGTCCAAAAACGAGTGAATGGTCTTGCTGACAGCAGAGACTTTGTAATGATG